TAATCGTTACCGTATGGTGGGGGAGGAAAACTGAACATTGATACCTATTATTGGGGTATAGATATTCCTCTAATTCTGATCTATTGAAAAATATAAGAGTTATCAAATCATAGACACTCAGAGTATTCATCTCTTCAGTTGAATCATCTGTGGACTTTGTAGATGTCTGTCATTATCAAATCATTATCCGTTTAAGCTGTGACTTACAGTTCTCTTTTTTTCCAACTATTTAAATGTTCCTCTTGATCTACTCATAAATCACATTCCAAATACTGGGCTGTTTCTCCAGACTCATCTTGAATCTATTAGCAGTGCTGAGTCTCAGTTGGAGATTAAGTGTACCATTGATTGCAAAGGCCTGATCCTTTGTTACTTTTCCTGCCTTGCCTTCATTCCAAAGATATTGCTACTTTTTCCCCAAATAATAAAACACATGAATCATATTTTTGGAAATGCAATTAAAAAATAATTAGTTGCTTCACAACTAATTTATTTTATCAGTGGGCAGCTGATTCAGTGTAGAATAGCCAACAAATAAAGTAGATTAAAACACATGCTGATGGAATGTAGGCATGCTTTTATTTCTGTTGGTTTAATTTCCTTTTAATTTCCTCTTTTGAAGCTGACACCCTAGTCATATTTCTTCCTAGGTAAAGCAACGAACAGCTTTGCTACAAGCAATATATTTGAAAGATATAACAATTTAACCAATCAACCAACCAATATTTTCCATCGTTAATTTAAATCTCCAGCTCAAGACAGTTTCTGGCTAGAGGACTTAACCAAAAGGGATGGGGATCTATGGACCCTTTATGACTTGTGGATTTTAACTCCCAAAATTCCTGAGCCAGCAATTCTGGGAATGGAAGTACACAAGTCATAAAGAGCCCATAGTTCCCCACCGCTGCTCTAGAGTTTCAGTCATCTGTGCTGCCATAGTCTCCAATTATTTTTCATCTCTCAATAGTACATAAAATTGTGATAATAAAATATCACAAGAATCACATCTGTTCCAATTCAGCTTCAAATAGCCCAGTTTGACTATGCTAACTCTGCCATCTTGCACATTTTGACCGAACCCTTGAACATCCCAACTGAAGCATGTACAGTCATAAACCTCTCCAGAGTCATCTTGCCTGTGGTCAGAAACCCCTTTGGTGCTATTTCTGTGAACTGGGAAATTGTGGAGCAGTTGAATCCATCCCAAAGATGGTGTTTACAGGGTAGGGTCAAAAGAGTAAGTTGATGACCATGTTGGTGTATTCAGAGCCAAATACCAGGATAAAAGGAGGTCCAAGATGCAAATTGTGTAATTTATTTTTATCAGATGTGGTGATAGCACAAATTCGTATGATTTTTTTAAAAAGATAACTGGAAAATATTTATGCATTTGTTTATTTGTTTCACATATTTATATGGCTGCTCATCTACCAAAACACTCAAGACAAAAAACAAATTGCACATTTGCAAACCATAATGTTAAATACATAAAATGATTGTTGAGCCCCCTGAATAATCTTGCAACAATAGCAAAGATAGGCCGAAGTCCGTATCAGAATTCCACTAGCATCGCACCCCAATTGTATCATTATGGCTTTGTAGAAGGCCAGCAGAGTCAGGTCTATCCATATCTTGAGAGGAAGCTCGGCTGGCAGCTACTATTGAGCAGGACGGCCTCACAGCTGAGTTCCACAGGATCCCCGGCCAGCATACAGGTACGAGGGAGGGAAAGGGCTGTGGCTGCCATCCATGCTGCTAGTCCCATTCGCTGCCTCCGGACACCGCCATCCGACAATCTTGCCTCCCCCCCCTCCCGTTAGTGGCAAGCCCATGGGCTTGACACCTGCACCAGGTGGCATGATCGGATATAAGACACTGCACTTGTATAAGACGCACCTGATTTTTGAACAGGAAAAAATAGCATCTTATACACGGAAAAATACGGTACTAATTTTTAGAAAATGCAGTATTGATGCTAGTAAACTGAGATCAAATACATCTCTTGAGTTAGTAGCAACTGAAAGTCACCCTGGGTCTTCTGTTTCTTCCTTACAGGGTCAAATAATCATAGGGCTGGAAGTCCCATTGCTTCTTGTCTTTGGTGCCTCTCTTTCCTGTGTTGTTATTGTTGTTGTTGTTATTGTTAATTGCAAAGTCGTATCCGACCCATCGCAACCCCATGGACAATGTTCCTCCAGGTCTTCCTGTCCTCTACCATCTTCTGGAGTCCATTTAAGTTCATGCCTACTGCTTCAGTGACTCCATCCAGCCATCTCATTCTCTGTCGACCCCTTCTTCTATTGCCCTCAATCTTTCCCAGCATTAGGCCCTTCTCCAGTGAGTCCTTCCTTCTCATTAGGTGGCCAAAGTATTTGAGTTTCAACTCTTTCCTGTGACTGTCCCTCAAATACTGGAAGACTGCTATCGTGTGTTCCCTGAGTCTTCTTTTCCTTAACTGCCTCGTACTTAAGCAGTGACCCATCATGACACCTATATCCCCCTCACAGGCACTAATGTTGAGCCAGGTACTGCTTCTTCTGTACCTGCCCACTTGATTTTTCCTGACTATGTGCAGAGTCTCACTTTTTTCATCACTGAACTGCATCTTGTTGGATAGGACCCAATGCTCAAGTCTGTCAAGTTCCTTCTTGAGTCTATCTTCCAAAGTGTTAGTAATTCTCCTCAGTTTGGTATCATCCATAGAGTTGATGATCTCATCTCCTCATCTATGAGTCATTTATGAAAAGGCTCAAAGATGTAGAGGAAACAAAAAGTCATATCAGTGAAGATAACAAATGTGGTAAAATTCTGAAGTATCTTTCCCCCCCCCTTAGGGAGTGGGGATTCTTTTTCCCCTGGTAGGTTGAATTTTAAATTGTTAATGATCTGTGGCCACAGAGTTGCATGGAATCCTGGCAGCTGCAGAAATATTTTCCCAGATATTTTAATGGTAAATACTGAAATGAGTTGCTTCAGATGTTTCAATGGTATTTACTGTTCAAGACATTTTTAGGAGGCATGGCAGCTGACCTATTAAAACATTTGGATTCACTTTTTGCAAAACCAAACCAATAATGTTGTGCATACACACACACACACACACACACACACACACACACACACACGAAAGGCATTAAAGTTGGCTTGTGTTAAAAAATTTCTAGAAAAGGGACCATGTTAATTTTTAAAAAAAAGTCTTGTGGCATTTTAAATACTAACAAACTTATAGGGCATAATAAGGTTTTGTGAAATATAAAGTTTCACTTTAATGGCATCCTGCCATAAAAGGGAGGGAGAGAGGAGGAAGCAGGGGAAGATAGGAAGGGGGGGGACTGGAACCAGAAGTGCCATCCCGAGACAAGAACCAGTGGTTGAAAGATCCAAGGACACGGGCATGAGAATGGAATGCAAATGCCCACCAAAGAGGCGCCAAACTTTAGGACTGTTACCAAAACACCTACTTTGAATACTATTGGACATTAATGAAATGACCAAGAGGGAGGGCACGGGAGAAGGGAAAATCACGGGAATATTCAGATCTGGCTTTGCTTATGCTGTAACCACTTGGCTTTAGTAAAAAGTATACCTTTTGCTACAAATGGAGTCAAGGATCTTTCTTTCCTAAATGTCCAAGCTCGGATAGACATGACAGTATTTGATTAAATGCAGAGAATAGTATCCTGAATTGGGAATCTTTATATATGCATTTATGGGGCTCTTCCAGACAATCAGTATTTCCACCTCCAAGGTCCCTGTTTGTGAATCGAAGTGACTTTGCCAGACTGGGAAATAGATTCATTTCCAAAGTGAGATGACCTCCTCTACATGTTTCCCGGACACTGCTACCTTCTGAATTAGAAAGAGAAAGTCCCCACTGAAGCTCAAGACGACCTAATCTAAATGGCTATGCAGTATATCGCTTCAGGGCCTTCCACATGCAATTCGTCCAATGTGATGGCCTTCTGACAGCCTTTAGATGTGGACCCAAGCAGCCAATTAATTTCAGAAATTAATCAGCTCAGCTGCTGCTCCAGAGGAATTAGCTGCAGTCCTTCTGGGTAGGTGGTTTCACATATTCACAAACCTTCATGTTCTGCTTCTGGGCTCTTGGTATTACTGCTGGCAGCTCCTGAGGGCTTGGGAGGTAGGACAAAACTAGTGGTCATGTGGAAAGAGAATAAATTTAACTTTCAAAAATAAGTGTTATCGTTTACTTTCTACTGCAATTCTTCTTCCGTTAAAATCAGCCAGCATAAAATCAGAATTTTGATTCCTGCCAGCATTTGATTTGGAAGATTTGAAAAATATTTTTGCTCCAAAAGGAATGAATCTTTGTTTAGATTTCTTTCTGGTTCCCGACTGCTTTGGGGAGCTGCTAAAGTCAGAGCGGCTTGTTCATTGAACATGCTTGAGTGCCCAGAAGACATCTCCTCTGCATCTCTGCTGGCAGACATTTCCCAACCAGCAGCCTCAATCAGCCAAGAAGATCCTGGCGAGCACATACTGTAAGGGTCTGTATCAGCATCCAGATGCCAGGTCAAGAAGGGGACAAGATGTAGTAGCCTGTTCTCATGTTGCGGCTTTTTCTATTTTGTTCTAGCACAGGAACGGGCAATCTTTCGGTAGCTGGATGCAGAGAGTAACATTTTCCTTGGAGCCTAGTTCCCTAGTTCTCTGGGAAGGGATAGGGATGTTTTTCCTTTTTTTTTTAAACTATGTAAGGTCTACATTCAGGCTCAAACAACACTTTTTTATGCTTCTTACCCCCGAATGGTAAGAAATAGCCCACCACTTTTCTATACTTCTGACTTTGCAGGGGGCTCTAGGGTGCCCCAAGAAGACAATGCATCAAGAAACACCTCACTGAAGCAAAGGACAGCCTACTTGCATGCACAGAACAAACTATTTCTAAGCTTTTAGTGGAGACAGAATTTCTCAGTTGTTATCCTGAATAATGTTCCCTAAAGGCATAAATTTACAGATTTTGTTTCCTTTTCCAGGCTAGTGGTAGGAGCTCCATATGAGATCAATGGTCCCCAGAAAACAGGAGATGTCTACAAGTGTTCAGTGAACGGCAAGGCCAACAGCACATGTTCCAAGCTCAATCTAGGTAAAACTATGGAGTGGAAGAGCTGAGTTTATTGTCTCTGCGTATTGCTCTGAAAGTATTAAAAGGTTTATGTTTACATGCAAAACTAAAGTCGCCTCAAGGTAGATGTTGCCTATTATCTATGATTAAAAGTTGGTGAGGTGAACGTAATGAAGTATGTTCACCTCACCAACTTTTTTAAAAAAGGAAGAGCAGAATTTGTAAGCCAGAAGGAAAAAATTATCAATCTAAAGAGCCTAGGTTTAACCCAGGACAGGTTAATATTAATCCTCCACATATTTCTGGAATACTATTCCCAGTGTTTTAGCTGAGACTGAATCTGTAGGCCCAAGAGTTTTTGGAAGGGACGGTGCCTAGTCAACCAGATGTAGGGACAATGGGAGAAAGTGTTACAGTTGTCAAGGAGAAAAGAAAATGATGGTAGTGGTGATGAGGACACACCGTGCTCTGTCTTCAAGGGCTGTGACGGTTTCCCACAGCTGTCTTGACTCTGACACTTTTTTCCCAAGGAAGAGTAACTCTTTCCAATGTGTCGGAACGAAAGGATAACATGCGCCTGGGTCTCAGCCTAACTACCAACCCCAAAGACAACAGCTTTTTGGTAAGAAATTGTTTGTGAATAATTACACATGCTCTTTTTATTTGGATTATCTTCTGTGGTTTCCGACCTGGAGCCCACTTTTCAGTCTCCTATTAGGCAGAATAAGATAGTTGCCTCAGACTGCAGTTTCTGGGTTTCATACAAATCCAAAAAATAACAGAATAAAAGATTTGGAAGGGACCTTGGAGATCTAATCTAGTCCAATCCCTTGCTCAAGCAGAAGACCCTATATTATTTCAGACAAGTGGAGCATCACAATTTCTGGAGGCAAGCTGTTCCACTGGTTAATTGTTCTCACTGTTAGGAAATGTCTCCTTAGTTCCAGATTGGTTATCTCCTTGAGTAGTTCCCATCCATTGTTTCTTGTCCTGCCTCCTGGTGCTTTGGAAAATAGATTGAGCCCCCTCTTCTTTGTGGCAGCCCCTCAAATACTGGAACACTTCTATCATGTCACTCCTAGTCCTTCTTTACACTAGACTAGCCATACCTAATTCTTGTGATTTAAATTATTATTCTGTATGATTGTCCAAGATTAAAAAACAGGTTGCTAAAACTTTCTGCTTCAAATGATTTCCCTTGATATTTATATTATCCCCTTGACAGGAAGATCAGGCTTATTTGTAATTCTCCTCAGGTATAAAAAGATATGGATGTTCAAGACACCGGATGGTAAAATTCTGAATAGAGGAGAAAATATAGAAACTGAGAACGTATTATGGAAGCCTTCATACCTGGGGTTGGAGACGTGTCTATTCACATTAGCTGTCACTTCCAGAAGGCAAAGTGCTCTGGTAGCATCTCATCACGTCCCCAACTGCCCCAGATGCTCCCTACCTCTCCAAAGGCCTGGAACACAGTCCCTCCCAATTTTATGAAAATGCCCTGGGACCTATGGGAAGCCAAAGATATCCTCAGAAATAAGTTATGCTGGAGGCTGATGCTTTACTTGGCAGTGTCCACCTTCCCCTTTCATTGTGTTATTACATAAAAATAATATTTTAAAATTTCAGCCAAACAGATGGGGAACTAGGAGGATACCAAATAAATGTTTGGTGCCTGTAGTGGTTGCTACACTTTCATTCGTCTCTCATTTGATCTGCCACCATGCTTAGAAATTGCCATATCTTGCAGAACTACCTTCCTAGGCAGAGACGCTGTTTCATATAGCTGGCTTTGATTTCCTTTCACCTCGACAAACATCAAGCAGCAATCTGCTCATGGAGAAATGCCCCAACTTCCACAGAAATTATCCAGGCAACTAAAACAATAGCCTCTGAAAACTTCTCCTAATATGTCATTGTTTTCTTCCTTTCTGACACAGGCTTGCAGCCCTCTGTGGTCTCATGAGTGCGGAAATTCCTATTACACCACAGGCATGTGCTCCAGAGTGAACTCCAACTTCAGATACTCCAAGTCAGTGGCTCCAGCTCTCCAGAGTAGGAGGACCAGCCTATTACGTTTTCCTCCCCCCCCTTCCTCCTTCCCTCTCTTCCTCTCCGCTTAGGGATTTAGAATCACCATCTTAGGGGAAACAAATAAGTCTGTTCTTGAAAAGAAGCCTGTCCAATGGGAATTTTGTGCTGATGGTAGGTAAAATGCTTCCTGATGGGCAGCAGTGAGGGGAGAAAAACACCCTCCTCCCAGACAGCAAGGAGGCATATTTTTGATCTGTGCTTTCCTGTGAAGAAGCAAAATGAAGAAAACAAATGATCAAGAGACTGTGCTTGGCAATGTCGTGCAGAGACTTCTCTTACAAATCCTCACTCAATCCAAGGAGAGAAAAATATGTGTGATGTCCTTACACTTAATCACTGCAGTGATGTGATTTATGGGAACATCTTGCCTTTTGTGCCACATCTTCTCTGCAGGCTCCCTGGCTCCACATTCTTCCATTCAATCAGAGGAAAAAGCATTTGAGAGAAGTTCCTCAAGGGACTGTTTTTTGTGAAAGTTCTACACTAATCTCTAAGTGAGAATTCTCAGAAAATAGTTGCAGAATTTCTCCTGTCCCTGGAAAAATTCAGAGAAAAGTTCCACCTATTTATTTCTAGGCCCACACATTTGTTGGAAAATTTCAAAGGGTTAATTTTTGATCAGAATTAGCAGTGCCCTCAAACAGCTCATTTTCTGTCTCTCTTTCACTGTTTGGGGCAGCCTGGATTAATCATTAAGCAAAACAATCAGATGCTCAGGACCCAGAGGGAAGTGGGATGCTGCTACAGATTTTTTCCCCCTAGCTATTATGCACTTCATTCATTGCTATGGCTGACTTTACTTTTCAATACTAAAGCCCTGGTGGTGGCGGTGGTTAGAATGCAGCATTGCATCACAGCACTAAAAGATCATAGTGTGGCCCTTGGATCTGGAAAAGTTGCTCAGCTCTGTTGGACACACTTAACCTGGAAAGAAGCACTATCAAATTCAAGGGGACTTTGAGTAGTCAGACATAGAACTGTGGTGTTAAATGTCTGGTATTGTTGTGTGCCAAGGGGAAAGGAATTGGCAGCCTATTCCACTTCTTTTTGGTAGCCAAGATCCCTTAATGATCTTTGTCCATCTGGTTGCAGGATGCCAGACATACATGGATATAATTATAGTACTGGATGGATCTAACAGCATCTACCCCTGGGCAGAAGTTCAAAATTTCCTGATAAGAATCTTGAAGAAATTTTATATTGGACCGGGACAAATACAGGTGACAAAACATGTGTGGGTGACTTTGCTCTTATCAGCGCATCCTGCACTTCATTACATAGCTTTTTTTGGCTGATGTATGTCTCCCTTGTCCCTTTGCTTCAAGAATAAATCTGCACTATTTATTTTTAAAAGCATAATTAGCCGTCTCTCGGTACTCGCAGGCTCACTGAGGACTGGGGTTTTGACTTGTGGTCATATTTTGGAGCAGAGATTGCCAGTGTTAGCTAGACATTATAAGCTTGATTCACTTTGCTGGAATGCTAAGTCATAAATAGCAGACTGGGCTGCGTTTGGATTTGAAGGCAAAATGTGCTTTGAAGCACACAGACATTAGCACCTGTCTGCAGCTACTTAAAGTTGATCTAGCGCAGGGGTGTCAAACTCGCAACACGTGACGTGAACTTTTTTCCCATTGCTGGCAATGGGGCGGGTGCGGCTTCAGCATGATCCATCCGGCCTGCAGGTTGGCAGTTTGACACGCCGAATCTAGTGGTTAAGACACCAGGCTAGAAAGTGGGAGATTGAGAGTTCTTACCATGAAAGCCAGCTGTTGACTTTGGGCTAGTCATTCTCTTTCAGCCCACTCATCCCATTTGTGGGGAAAATAGGAGGAAGAAAGTGTGTTGTCACCTTGAGTTGTTTGTAAAACAAACAAACAAAACAAAATAGCCATCTCTTTTCCTAGCATTAAACAGCACTTGCAGAGGGCTGCTATATGAACCCAGGAAAAAGCACAACTGATTTAAGAACGTTGCACATTCCAAACGATATTTTGGCCATTGAATCTAAAGCACGACTACAAAATGAAAATAATGTTTTCTAGTCAGAAAACATCTGTTGATTGCTGGGGGGGGGGAAGCTAGAAAAATGGGTTTGTAATTTGTAACGAATTAGTGATGCATTTAGGACATTGTTGCAACGTTTAAGTTGTAATCTACACACAGGCATCCACAGCAATGATTGCTGACATCAAAATGACAATAGCAGCATTATGCCTTCCCACCACAATATCCAACTTTTTCAGATGTTTGTGAATGTTCAAAGGGAATGGAACTTAATTTGATCCAATGCTGCTTTGTTAGATTGACTGGGATGCAACACACATATACTGTATACACACAATCTTTGAATGCTGCTGAATCCACACATTTGCATGGAAAGACATCTCACTGAACTTAATGGGACTACTTTCTGAGTAGACATATATACGACCTTATGGTAAACTGAGAGTTATCCTTTAGGCTGGATGGTACAACTGAGATCCCAGGCTGAGTATGACCTGCAAAAGAACTGTTCAAAAATTGCCATCCAATTATAATGTTAATATGACAAAAAGGGACATTATTAAAATATGACATGTGACCATAGTATTTAAACTACATTACTTTTAAATAAAATGAAGTTCTTTTAAGTACTTTTAATTCCAATGAAGTTCTCTATCCTCTATTCTGACTCTTTCTCTTTCAGAGTACATACTGTACCTCTAAGCATATCACTCAAAGGACACTTGGCCTGAATGGAGTTGTAGTGTCTTGATTTAAAGTAATACAAGACAGACAAACAGACAAGAAAGGTGTTCATAATTAGGATTTGCTTGTAATATAGTCTATAGGCTCATTCATGAAAGAAGATTTTCACCCCAGTACTTTATAATGTTTTCACAAGGTTGGAGTTGTCCAATATGGAGAGGATGCTGTCCATGAATTTCACCTGAATGATTATAGATCTGTAAAGGATGTGGTAGAAGCTGCTAAACGCATCGAGCAGAGAGGGGGTACTGAAACCCGAACAGCCTTTGGAATAGAGTTTGCTCGGTAAGCCTACCTTCCAGATTCTGTTCAGTTGAAAAGGGAGGTGTTCTTAGGCAGGCATGAAATTGGGCAGTGATGGAGCTTAACAGTTTAACCCACGTCTGGTAGATCATGGAGCCATTTTGATTCAACACATCATAAGCAGACAGCAAAAACAACCATGCATATTAGCTCCAAAATCCTAATGCCCAACACAGTGAGGTAACTCTTAGCTACAAAGCAAATTAAACGTTATAGAGGATACTAATATGCACTATAATTTAGAGAACACTGACCCTATTTTGCTACTGAGAAATACTGAGACAAGGCAGTGATTAGAATAAGATTAAAGAATACACAACCCAGAATGCTTATGCAACAAAGCAATTTTTAAAAAAGAGTATCTCTGAGTTTATGTATGTGAATTTCTTTCTTTCCCTACTTAACATATTGTGCAAATGAAAACTTATTCTTTCTCTAGGAATTATGGAGCATTCCAATTACAAGCAGTTGCATCCAATAAAGAATAATATATTTAATTTGCAAAATGCCACATCTTTCACTACCTTCTCTGCATCTCTTGAATTTCAGCTCGGAAGCATTTCAGAAAGGAGGGCGGAAGGGCGCAAAGAAGGTTATGATTGTTATCACTGATGGAGAGTCTCACGACAGCCCAGATCTTGAGAAGGCAATTGAAGGCAGCGAGAAAGACAATGTCACCAGATACGCCATTGCAGTAAGTCATTGATGGGTGTTGCACACTTTCTGCCTGGAATCTTCAGAATTGTACCGAAATGGCTGTGAATTCAGAGTTCATATGCTAGGAAAATATTGAAGGCTTCAGTTTTAAAATAGATTGCCGTTTTTGGTCGATAACCCACATGACTTAAGTGGATCAGGTTCCGGTCCATTTTAGCCAAAGCATCAGAGGGCAGGACAAGAGGAAAATTTTAGAGCCATAAAGGACAGCAAAGTGAAGATGGCAATTGTAAGAACCTGCCCCAGCTGGTCCCTCAGGAAAGTAAAACTCTTGACTCCATTGAGGTTAATCAAAATAATTTTATTGAGAGGAAATGCATGCAGAAAAGTCAGGCAGAATCTGAAGATTCCACGTGAAGCATAAAACAATTTTTTCACTTCCCCTAAAATGCAATTCAGTGGTGAGAAAGAGAAAGGGTTACACTTAGACAAGAAAAACCAAATGCACGGGTATAGCAGTAACTGTGAGAGGGATCTTGAAGTCCTAGTAGACAACCACTTCAGTATAAACGAGTCGACAAAAAAGCCAGTGCGGTCCTAGGAATCTAGGGATTGAATCAAGATCATGTGAAGTGTTAATATTGCTTTAATCTGCACTGGTAATACCACTTGGAATACTGCATCCAGTTTTGGTCACCATGATATAAAAAAAATGCTGAGACCCTAGAAAGAGTGCAGAGAAGAGCAACAAAGATGATTGGAGGGCTGCAGGCTAAAACACTTGAAGAACAGTTGCAGGAACTGGTTATGTCTGGTCTAGTAAAGAGAAGGGGTGACATGATAGCAGTCTTCCAATATTTAGTGGGTGTTAACCTGTTCCCCAAAGCACCTGAGGGCAGGACAAGAAGTAACAGATGGAAGCTTATCAAACAGAGATTCAACCATCTATCCAAATTAAGGTGAAATTTCCTGTCAGTTAGAACAATTAATCAGTGGGATAGTTTGCCTCCAGAAGTTGTGGGTGCTCCATCACTCGAGGATTTTAAGAAGAGGTTGAACAGCCACTTGTCTGGAATGGTATAGGGTCTCCTGCTTGAGCCCCTAGGGGTTGCACTAGAAGACCCCCAAGATGCTTTCCAAGTCTCATGCTGTTACTATGTCTGGAACATTCAACTGTTCCAATCACATTTGAGAAGGATGTAATAGAGTTGGGAAAACTGAAATGAAGGACTATACAAAATAAACTTTTTTTTTTAAGAAAAGGGTGAATTTTTCCTCTTCCTGAGTATTTGAAAACTAACCTTGTAATTTTATTTTATTATTTGCCTTTGAGCCAGAGGTAACTCCTGGCGACTGTCTGGACATGTCCCAGCAGTTTTCTTGGCAGGATTTCAAAAGTAATTTGCCATCAGTTGAGAGGGAGTGACTGGCCCAAGGTCACACAGCCGGCTTTGTGCCTGAGGCAAGACTAAACCTCCCAGTTTTCTGGTTTCTAGCCAAATACCCTAACCTCTACACCAAACTGGCTCTCTTGTAAATACTTATACCATGAGTGTAATTCTGTGGAATAATGCTGAGATGTATTTTGCTTGCCACTCCAGGTCCTTGGTTATTACAACAGAAGAGGGATCAACCCTGCAGCTTTTTTGAAAGAAATCAAATATATAGCGAGTGACCCAGACGAAAAACATTTTTTTAATGTCAGTGATGAGGCTGCCCTTAAAGATATTGTGGATGCTCTTGGAGAGAGGATTTTCAGCTTAGAAGGTGAGCAGCTTCTGAGAGATAAAAAGAGGAAAAACCTAACTCCTGTTTTCTGGCTACATGAGGGCCTGCAGGTATCAGTCGGATGTGACTTTCATGGATCTCAGAAGGAGAATCTTTGGCCCCGGGATTATCTAACTAAAGTTATATTTAAGCAGTATTTTTGAATTTCCTGAATTTTGAGCAGGCGAATAGACCTTAATCATGTGCAAAGCACAAAAATATTTTTTCCGTTACAGTTTAACCCTATTTCAGCACATTTGAAAGACAGTGCTTAGAGTGGCAGAGTTAATTATGACAGTCACTCTCAAGAGAACTCTAAATGAGGGGTCCCCAACCCCCAGTCTGTGGACTGGCACCGGTTCACAGCATGCCACAAACTGGGCTGCACAAACAAGCAAAGCCCCATCCCCAGGATGCAGGCAGCACACAAAACCACGCTCCCTCCGATCCGCGGATAAACCTCTCTCCACAGAACGGGTCCCTGGTGGCCCAAAAGCTGAGGGCTGCTGTTCTAAATGATCAGGACAGAGTTTCTCAACCTGGGCAGCTTTAAGATGGCTGGCTGGGGAATTCTGGGAATTGAAGTCCACACATCTTAAAGCTACCCACGTTGAGAAACACTGGTTATGAGATTCCTTAAACAGCAGGTTTCTACTTTAAGTCAGATACTGATCTCTGTGGTTCATTTCTAAATGTGGATGCTAACTCAAAAATTGCCATGAACTCCAATCTGCAGTCAAGTTTCGTACATGTGTTTATCTCTTCATCATTTCTGCTGTGGACATTAATTTATCCCTGGAATGAAGGATGAGGTCACAGAAGAGCTAATTTCATAGCAATGCTGCATTTTTAAGCCTGAACTAATAGCCAAAGTGAGACAAGGGAATTTATATGCACATTGATTCCAACATTCAGCTTTAGACTTTTAAACAGATGGACAGAAATTTCTCTTTTATTTTTTGGGCCCATAATCACAAATCTTCCCACTGGCTTGTGCAATGTTTGAATCAAATTTTGTCACCCAACTGTAATGGCAAGTAGTAAATATATTTTTCCTTCTTTCACTGTTTTTTAAATTTTTCTTTTCTGTGTTGTAGGCACCAACAAAAATGAAATATCCTTTGGCCTGGAAATGTCCCAGACTGGATTTTCATCCCATATTGTGGAAGTAAGTGAATAATGGACTTTTTTTTCCATTTTATCTTATGATTCATGTGACTTTGGCATGCAGTAGATATAAATGAGCCTAAAATGTAATGGTTTGTAATATATGGACCCACCAAAAGCCTGTATCAGGTAGAAGATACTTGAACTTCTCTGTTTATGATAAACTGGAAGTTCAAAAATTAAACTGTTCTGCGGTTTCAGACAGCTGCTTCTTAATGCAATTTTCAAAAAGCCTCCAAGTAAATAGGCAGAAAATCTAAACTATTTTTTTACTGTGCTCCTCGTGGAAAACAAAACCTAAGTAGTTCATTTATTTCTTGCACATATGTTGACAATAATTAAGAACAAAACATTATTTAACACTTCTGGGCTAGATTTGTTCCTGGTAGAAAACCTAGCACAGCATTCAAATTCTACTTAAGGTCAGCCTTTACACAATTGTTTGATTAATTAATTTTTTTTATTAAAGTTGAGGAATTGTCACTTCCATTTACATCATGAACATTCTAGTGGTAATATTGGTGGTTCTAAGCCTCCTTCAGTCTGGAACACTGGCAGAATTACATCCAGAAGTGCCACAACTTCGACCTGCTACTTTCATTACCCCTCAGCTTTTTTAAATTCCATGAATAGGATGGGATTCTGCTTGGAGCCGTGGGTGCCTATGACTGGAATGGTGCCGTCCTCAAGGAGACCAGCAGTGGCAAAGTTGTTCCTCACCGAGAATCCTACCTTCAAGAGTTTCCAGATGAACTGAAAAATCACGGGGCCTATCTTGGTAAGAAGTGTCTCATGTAGACTATGCAAGCTTCTGGAGCAGCACTAGTAAAGCTTAACCAAAGATGCAGTTCAGACATGGAATACTGGAATTTATATTCCACCTTTCTGCATTCAGTTCCCAAATTATAACAGCCCCCCCCCAACAATTAAATGATACTTCATATTGTATTTATTTAAAATATTATTGAAAAAGTCAGCAAGCTGAATGGCATGAGAACAGAGGAGTTGTTGGTCCAGAAGCTTCCTGGAACTCCAGCTCCACTGGGAGGAACTTTAGATGGGGCAGGGGTCTCCTTGAAGGGCCAGCTCTCTGAGCTGGGGGTCAGCCTGGAGTCACGGCTATAGCTAGATGGGCTGCAGGGTGACTGTGGCCAGGAGGATTTTTCTTTAACTTGGGCCAGTGCACCTAGAGAAGTGGGCCCTGGCAAAAGTGACAAGACCCTTGTTACTCTTGCATAGATGACTGCAATGACTGCTCTCTCTGTGGCCGGCTTTGAAGATTACCCAGAAGTTGCAGTTGGCAACTGAGACCCACTGAAGATATATACAGTGATGGTGCTGCAGGCTGTGCATCAGTCATCAGACTTCTGGATGCATCTCAAGGGGCTTCTTTTAGCCTAAATAGCCAGACCATCTTGGTGCCCAGGTACCTGCAGGTCGGCTATAAAGTGGTTCTTCCCATTCTGCTAGGCTAGGAATGCTCGGGTTGCCTCCCCCATGATAGTCGCAAAAGAGCCAACACCCCCACACACCCCACTCCCATTTTTCAGTTGTGGTGCCAACCATCTGGAATAATTTCCCCCTGGAGATCCAGATGACACCTTGCTTCCAACTTTTAGGAAGATGGTTACATGGATGGTCAAAAAGGCCTAGAGGGATCATTGGGATGAAGAAGGAGGCAGAGAAGTTACATTTGCATTATTAATGAAGTCATTGCATATCATTTTGTTGGTAATCATATTTTTGATAATTATTTGTTTTAAGTGTAAACTTCCATAAGTCTCTAAACGTATGATAGCAGCATATTCACAGGGCAGGGGGTAAAAAAACCAAGCCCCGTCCCTTTTTGGCATGTGCCACGTGTGTGATTTGCAGAGAAGGGAGCAGTGCTTCAGTTGCATATTCACTACTTTCACGTTACGATATTTTAACAGTGTCTATGGATAATCCAATGTAGTAATCTAAAAATACAGTAAATTAAGAAGAGATTATATAAATGAATCTAGCCAATAAAACAACTCTAAACTAAGGCCATCCTGGATTGAAACTGTTTTGCAGGTTGGCAGAAAGTAAAGAAGGACTGTACAATATTGTAGAAAAGGACTCCAAATGTGATTATGACAGTGATGATGATCAGTTCTGGCCTTAGAAATATGTCACTGTAAGGGATTCCCTCCGCATGATCTCTTGTGTGTGTGTGTGTGTGCTGTAGGCTACACCGTCACCTCGGTGGTGTCCACCAGACTCAGCAGGACTTACGTAGCAGGAGCCCCTCGATTCAACCATACTGGAAAAGTGATTGTTTTCACAATGCACACAAATCGAAGCCTCACCATCCACCAGTCACTGACCGGAGAGCAGGTAAAGGATATCTTTCTGGCATTACTTTAGGAAGTTGTGTGGCTGGCAGAGAAGAAGCTAGTGGCACAAGGCCGGATTAAAGCCAACTGATGCCTAAGCAGAGCCCAGCAGTGGCAAAACTCTCATGCCATAAGGAGGAATAAATATGATATCTGATGAAAGCTTCAAGCCAAGCGTTTAAACTTTAATCATTCACTACATCAAAAAAATGGTTTCTTTACTCCAATACAGATTAAAGTTGAAAGTAGCAGATAAGAACAATTTATCAGATTAAAGAGTGTGGCAGTTAAAGAGTTAAGGGCATAATACAGGTAGTCCTCGACTTATGACCTCAAGAATTTATGTTGCTAAGTGAAATCTTTTTTAAGTGAACTTTGCCCCATTTTACCACTTTTCTTGCCACAGTTGTTAAGTGAATCACTGCAGTTGTTAAGTTAGTAACACGGCTGTTAAGTGAATCTGGCTTCCCCATTGACTTTGCTTGTCAGAAGGTTGCAAAGGATGATCACATGACCCCGGGACCCTGCAACCGTCATAAGTACGAGTCAGTTGCCAAGCATCTGAATTTTGATTACATGACCATGGGGATGCTGCAACAGTCGTAAGTGTGAAATATGGTCATAAGTCACTTTTTTCAGTGCTGTTGCAACTTTGAACAGTCACTAAATGAACTGTTGTAAGTCGAGGATTACCTATAGCTAGAGGAAAAAAATCTCTGTGTTGCCCCCTGCCCTGGGCCTACTAAGCACATGCTTGGTTTGCTTAATTGATAACAATAATCATATAATAATAAAATTATTGTCTTTATGTTGGTGTTCTCCCCACCGCAATTCCAAAATAAAACATCACTCAGGATTCAGGATCAACCCTTCAGTTTTTCACTTTATCCTTTAAAAGCCATTTGTCTCTGGGTCTGATATAATTTCCTGAAGAAATGCCTAAACAGGTTATAAATTATAAGAACTCTTCCCTTTAAGAAGTTGATTCTGCATTTTTGTACTTCAAGAGGGACTGAAGTGGCCAAATGGAATGAATAAGCAATGCTGAATCGACTATTATGCAGAAGCATTTCTGTCTATAAAAGAATGCAAATCTTGGCATTCATCAAGAATCCACAGGATACTATTTACTCAGTGTAAATAGGCTAGAATTCTTTCAAACTATGTTAATCGTTTTTTTGCTGTGGACTTTCAGTAAGAGAATCAATCAACAGAAAGCAACTGAGAATAGCAGTTAATATGATCCTTAATCGCCCAGGATCAAAGTGTTGTTCTCTCTCTCTCTCTCTGAAGTCTATTCCAGAAGCAATGTCTAGACAAGGACATGATGGATGGTTTCCTCTGAGAAATGCCTCTCATTCCAGTAGTATCATTACAGATGCCATTAATTTCTCGGAAGCATATAAAAATACAGAAACACACAGCTCTGTAGTCTTCATTCTGTGTGTATTTTTTGTATCCTCTTCAGATCGGTGCCTACTTTGGAAGTGAAATCAGTTCGGTAGATGTTGATGGGAACGGAATCACAGACATTCTGTTGGTCGGGGCTCCCATGTATTTCAGTGAAGGGCGAGAGAGGGGAAAGGTCTACATTTACAGCTTAAAAGAGGTAATTCTTGGCCTTGTGTCCACAAATGAGCATTTTCCTCAGGACAGGTAAAGCCCTTTTACATTTGCTACCTTTGTCACATGACAGCTGATCATGCTATTGACCAAGTAGAGGCAGTTAGTTTCTGGTGATTAGAATATTCAACCAAAATATGGGATTCAGAGTTCTACCTTTCTGAAGGCATTGAGATTGATAAAGAAGAATTGGGGGGAAATATTCAGAGCAATGAACACAGATATAAGGAAGAACAAGATACCTAGCAAGAAGTGTGCTACAGATAGTCCTCGACCCTACAACGACAACTGAGCCCCACATTTCTGTTGTTAAGTGAGACAATTGTTAAGTGCATTTTGCCTCATTTTAGACCTTTCTCACCCCGGTTGTTAAGTGAATCACTGCCGCTGATAAGTTAATAGCTCGGTTGTTAAGTGAATCTGGCTTCCCCATTGACTTTGCTTGTCAGAAGATCGCAAAAGGGGATCCGGTGACCCCGGGATGCTGCAATCGTCATAAATATGAACCAGCTGCTAAGCGTCTGAATTTTGATCAAATGATCATTGGGATGCTGCAAAGGTTGTAATTGTGAAAAACGGTCATAAGGCACATTTTTCAGTGACGTTGTAACTTTGAACAGTCACTAAAGTACTGTAACTGTTGTAGGCCAAGGATTACCTTTCTCGATCTCTTTTTTGAGGAGCAACAAATTTTCTGACATTATATTCATGGTTCACTTCGTGCTGATACACAAATGTGCTTTTTCATCTTTTCTCTTCTTGAAGAACCAGTTTGTTCCCAATGGAGCTTTGAAGGACTTGCCCGGCTATCAGAATTCCAGGTTCGGGTCCTGCATTGCCACTGTACCTGATTTGAACCAGGATTCCTACAGCGATGTAGTTGTGGGAGCACCTCTGGAGGATGAGCATCAGGGAGCTCTGTACATCTTCTATGGTTATCGGGAAAATCTGATCCGGAAATATAAGCAGGTACAGATTCTCTTTAGGCTATAAGAAAAGGCAGAGAAGGGGTGATGGTTGGGGTCTACACTGGCTTATGGACTTGAATCCCACCACTGGTTCCACCCCATTATAATTTACCAGATTACAACTGTGTAATGTAACAGAAGAGAGAATTGTTAAATACAGGGAGAGTAACTTAAATTGATGCAAACTTGCTTTTTGTCATGGCCCCACCCAACTAGTTTTTCAAGGACAATCTTCTCTCACTCATCTAGGGACTCTGTGAACTGAAGTCAAGCAATGGGCCTTGTACACATGTAAACACAGAGATGTAATTTGAGTACCGGTACACTTGCTTGTTAAAATATATAATTGCTTTTGCACAGCTATGTTTAAAGAAAACTAATTTTTTTCCTTGGTCTTCCAGAGAATTGCAGCTGCTGATCTTTCTCCTGGCTTTATGTATTTTGGGAGCAGCATCCATGGAAGCCTGGATATGAATGAAGACAAGCTGGTGGATCTTGCTGTGGGCTCCCGTGGAAGTGCTGTCCTATTATGGTTGGTCATATCAAATTTAAGACTGGTTGAGATATCCTTCGTTCAGAGTGAAGTTGGCGGGAAAGGAGGAAGGGAGCAGAACCTTACCAATACCCCAAGTTAGTAGGAGCCTAGGGAGTATGAGCCCAAGCATTGATGTTTTGTTTTTTAAAAAATATGTTTTATTGATTTTTTTACAATAACAGTCTTTAGTCCTTAGTAAACAGTGTGTTGTCTGGGTTCATATATTTAAAAACAATCAATAATAATTAATTTCTATAATTCCATAATCACTTTATATTCAAACTGCAGAGGCGAAGAATAAGAATAAAGCCAATGTTGTGATTTGCAGGTATTATTACTAATAATATATATTATGTATTGGTCAGATGTAAAGGTCGACCTACAGTATGAGGTTTAATCAGATCTATTTATTAAATTGGGTTTAACTTAAAGGTAAATTAAAAGTAATCTGTTCACTGACAAAGTTTCAACTTTAATTTGTTTCAAGACAATATCCATATTAAACTCCAAATGTAAATTTTTCCACCTTGTTTGACAACTTTTTTAAAATAATTCAATCTTTTACAAGCAACCAAATTTTGTTTTATTGGGCTAATTTCATTCCACATAGAAAGCTGACATTTCCACTCATTAAACTAAACGGGTATGCCAGTGGTAAATGTCCCAAAGATTAATAAAATACCTTCTTGTCATTTAAAGCCACACAATGCATAATCTACTGACCTCTCAGTGGCCTTCAATACCATTGACCAGGGCATACTTCTGGAGTGATTTGGGGAGTTGGAAGTGTGGGCTCAGTGTTGTCTTGGTTCACTTCCTTTTTCTGTGGCTGCTCTCAGTCAGCGAAAGGAAGGAAGAAGGCTAAACCTTATCCCTTTGCAGGATCCCACAGTACTTAGCACTTTCTCCACTTCTGTTTGACATCTGTATGAAGCTGCTAGGTGAGATCATCCTCCACCATAGGCTGAGATATCACCAATATGCTGATGACTCCCAGCTATATATGTCTCAGTCCAGGCTGAGTTAAGTGCTGCCATGACCTCCCTCTCAGTGCTTGGAGGCTGTTAAGGGCTGGATGGGAAGCAACGGGCCGAAACTGGACCTTGGCAAGACGGAATGGCTCTGGGTTTGGGGTTCCTTGGTCTACGGAGAATTGCCATCTCTGGCCTTGGATGGGGCGACACTGCCCTAGACAGACCGAGTACGTAATCTGGGGGGTTTTCTGGAGTTACAACTTCTGCACGAGCAGCAGGTTGCAGTCATGGCCAGGAGGGCCTTCGCACAACTGCAGGTTGTGCACCAGTTACTCCCTTTCCTGGACCAACAATCCCTGCCCTAGTCACCTCCTGTCTTGACTGTTGCAATGTGCCCTACATGGGGCTGCCCTTGAGAAATATCCAGAAGCTTCAATTGGCTCAAAATGCAGGGGCCTGCACGGTTTTGTGCAGGCCTAGATGTGCACATATGTCATATCTCCTTTAATCTTCTTTAAACACCTTTTCCCAGCTGCAGATGTTAGCCAGGTGATCCCAGAAAGCACACAGCTGCAGCAAGGAAGTTTTCCCCCCTGTTGAATCCAAAGCTCTGAGCTTCCACCCAGTAATGCATTTCTGGACTGGCTCAAGATATCAGCTGCCTTTGCTTCTTCCCTATAAGGTCCCGCAGTGTGGTCCAAATCAATGCCACCCTCCAGTTTGAGCCTTCCAAAATCAACATCTTCACCAAGGACTGTGTTCGGAATGGAAAAGAGGCCACTTGTCTGTCAACCTTTGTTTGCCTCACTGCTGTTTTTCTCTCAGCTCATTTTCAGACAGCTCATGTAGGTAAGTGGCAGGGCTGCCCTCCCCTGAGGGTTGTTCTCCCCATTGGGTGGCCGTTTTGCTCCCTCAGGGAGGGGGCTTTTATTCAGGACACAATCCTGTCCCAGACGCTCAGAGCAGGGAACAGGGAGATGAAACTCTGCAATGCGGGGAGAAGCCTTTAAGGGGAGAAAAGCCTGAAATTCTCATCACTGCCATTTAATCATCATTTGCTTATTTATAAAAGTAAGTTTCCTATTTAAGAAGTAAATTTATAAGACAGTTGTGGCAGTTTTGGGGAAGCACATTTAACAGTAGAGGAATGGGGGCTGCAGAAGGAGTCAATTAAGTTTTCACTGATGATGTTACCTAATCAGGTCATGAAACATCTACAGGAAAACAAGCAAGCTCAGAGAGCACCAAGGACCCCTCATTTCAACTCTGAGCTACAAATATTCTCCTTTATTAATATGAGATTTGAACAAGTTGGTTCTAATTTTATTCCACACTGGGGAATAAATTATTTAGCCTCACTTCCTTCATTTCAGCATTGGATTACAACCTCACCATTGATGAACGACGATATATCCCACGAGCCCATCTGGATGAAAGTGGAGATCGACTTGCCCACAAAACAGCCACCCTGCTTGCCGGGCAGGAACATTGTGACAAGATGGATTTCCATGTCTTGGTAAGGATTTTCTTGTTGGGTAATTGCACTCAAATTTTGCTTTTGTCTCGAAACAGTAGAAAAGGTTGTCATTTCTCAGGGATGTCTGCAGGCAGGAGGTGTCGGAGGAGTAGGTTTTGCAAGGTGGTAGACATGGCAGCATAACTGAAGCTCTGTCCCTTTTGACTCCCTAGTGGATGCTCCTGTTTTCTATCCAGCTGTGTGAAACATTTCCTGCAAGGTTTTTCACAAAACAGCAATAGCAATAGCACTTAGACTTATATACCGCTTCACAGTGCTTCACAGCCCTCTCTAAGTGGTTTACAGGGCCAGCATCTGGCCCACAGCCATCTGGGTCCTCATTTTTCTGACCTCTAAAAGGATGGAAGGCTGAGTCAACCTTAAGCCAGTGAGGATTGAACTGCCAAACTGTGGTCAGTCGCCAGTCAGCAGAATTAGCTGTCAATGCTGCATTCTAACCACAGCACCAGCATGGCTATTGGTTGATTAAAATATGCATTGGCCATTGCACCTCCAGACCCACATGCCAGCCTGCGGAAAGAACCAATTCTGCCCTATTGTTCTGGTTGTCAAGAGTATTGTGGTCAGACCAATTATCTGTTTACAATTGGAGTCTTTAAGTATTTAATGATGTTTCTATTAGTTTCCGATTTTCATTTTTGAGTTTGATTATAAATGCATTTTTGTTATTATTTTACTGTAAAGTCATATTTTAAAATTGTCATAGGAAAGCTTGAGCATTTGTATAATTAGCATAAAGACAAAAGTAACAAACCATCCAGAGCTTTGTAATTTTAATTGTCTAAAACAAATGAATAAAGAAACAAAATAAGACAAATAAGACAAATCCTGCTCATTTGGACAGTTTATGTGCAATGCACTATGTAAACCCAAAGTTAGTTCTCTAACCAGATTAAGTATGTTGAACACACTCAGCTGAAGGATAATTATGATTACCTGTTTTTTTTACTCTTTCAGGATACAGCTGATTATGTGAAGCCAGTGACTTTCTCTGTTGATTATGCCCTAAATAGTCCTGAGACTGGACCAGTGATGGATGATGGGTGGCCAACTTCACTGAAAGTTGCTGTGCGTAACACCTTCTGATTCTGGAGTGAGAGTTACAGAGGGTTAAATTTAGAAACCACTGCAAGAAATGTTCAGCTTATTTATTGCTTTGGCTCCCTTTCCCCATCACCCAGGTCCAAAGCCTCTTTCAGCACAGAATAAAGAACAGTAGTTTGAAGGGAAAGAGTCAGGAAAGGAAGATACCCAGGAACTATAGAGTCAGAAAGAACAGAGAGGAGAGGATAAAGAGTCTTTTTGGTGGAATATTCACACTGTAGTTTAAAACAGAACAATATACACTAAATGAGGCTAGAGTCCCCTTGTTTCACATGTTTCTACACGTCATGGAACAGAACTATATAATTTTAATACAAACAACCAAATCTGCAGAAAGTAAATAGCCCAATCTTTAAATCCAGTCCACTTTATAACATGACATGTCTGTACCATTGTAAAATTTTGCAAGGATTTATGAATTCTTGAAGGAGGGTGCACGTTGTTCTAGAATTTTCTGGCTCTTCAATTCCAGCCCAAGAACAGACATCTGAAGCAACTAAATGGTTTCCTGGCCTCAGAAATCAATTTCAGCAACAGATAGGGATAGAGGATGCCTAACTTAAAGATTCCAACCCTTCTCCTCTATCCAATAGGTACCATTCTGGAACGGATGCAACGAAGATGAGCACTGCATCCCTAATTTGGTTCTCGATGCTAAAACAGATGTCCCCACTGCAATGTGAGTAGATCTTTTGAAGTGAGCCTAAAGTAAGGCCAGCAAATAGGAGGGATCTGGGAAATAAGATTGCATGGTTCACTTTTGAGAGTTTTGTGGAAGGGAAGTCACCCTGAACTGGTGAAGCTCTTTCTTTTCCTTTGTCCTGAAAGGGCAGAATCATTCTCTGTGGAGGTCATATCTTCACTCAAACTGCTGCCAGCACCATTGTACTATCAACTGATGATAGGCTTAGCCTGCCCCCCCCCCATCTTTTGACTGCAGTCTATTTGAACTCATACAAATGTCCTTAATGCTCTTGCAGACCCTGCTCTCTGGCTGCTGCCATAACATTTGCTCTTTTCATAGGGAATATTGCAGACGGGTCCTGAGAAAATCTCACTCGGATTGCTCCGCCTACACGCTGTCTTTTGATACCTCCATTTTTGTCATAGAGAGTGCCAGAAGGAGGGTAGCAGTAGAAGCCCTGCTGGAGAACAGAGGAGAAAATGCATATAACACCATTTTAAACATTTCCTTCTCAAGAAACCTGCAATTTGCAAGCTTGATTCAGAAGGTAAGGCATTCCCTAAATATGTTCTTGCAGGAGAGAAGGCTGATAATTCTTGGGATAAAAAATGTCTTTCTGGCGGCCCTTGAAGCCACCACTGACTTGTTAGTTGAAAATTAGGAGCAGAATTCTTTATTCTTTTGAGTTGGAAAATGTTCAAAAACTGTATGATGTACTTTAAAATAGATGTAATGTTTTTTTCAAAATCTCCCCAAGTTTGAATTGGATGAGGTGGTCTGCAGATCTAAGAATAAGCATTCAAGCATCTCTCCTGCCCCCCACACCCATACTGGTTTAGCCACTTTTTTATTTTGTTTATTTATCAAATTTACCGTATATACAAAAGCCATCTATCTCACTTTGCTGCATCTATCCATCCACTGCAGCTCCTGGCCACTCAAAATTTGTTGTGTGCTGCTTGCCATCAAATTGCCCAGCACAATTTTAAATGTCTTTAATGATTTATTTATTTAATGATTTATTTATTTATAACATTTATTTATTGATAACATTTATTTATTGATAACATTTATTGGCTGCCATAGGATAACTCTGTATTAGCCTTTTTGGCTGCTGCCATAGAGAGGTAGCTCATATTCAAGTGACCATCCACAAGGACTCCAAGGTCCCTCTCACAGTTTCTGTTTTGGAGCCAGGTTTCACCTAATCTGTATTCATACCTTTGTTTTTTCCTGCCTACATGTAAAATCTTGCTTTTCTCCACATTTGTCCTTTCATTGTTTTGATTTTTAGAAGGCAAACATCCTGCAGAAGTATTTCCGGCATTTTTCTGCCAGAGAGAGTTGTGCTTTCAAATACATTAACTGAACAAAATGGGACAAATAAAAACCACAGCAGCTTCTATTTCCCATCTCTCTTTACATTTGAAGGCTCTGAGACTCTCAAAAATTATTCCTTTGGTTCTCTAACTCACATGAGATGAACAGCAGAAATTCCACAGGAAAGAGAGATGACATTGCTTGAGAGAATTTAGATTTAAATTCAGGTTTTGTTGATGGGCTTTTGGGCAAATTAGACTTTCAGTAGTCTTCTCTGCAGCATTAAACAGGAAAAGAACAGTGATTTGCCCATAATTTGTTGTGACAAATGACACAGAGACAACTTAATACAATGTTCATGATTTTTATGTAGTAATTCTGGTTATAGTCATACAAACCTGGCCAATTGTGTCTTATTTGGTAAATCATAGACAAGCAGATCTTGGTTTTATATGATGTGTGAAATATTAAGTATGAATCTATACCATTTGTGATTGTTCCTTCCTTCCTTCCTTCCTTCCTTCCTTCCTTCCTTCCTTCCTTCCATCCATCCATCCATCCATCCATCCATCAGGTGACTTGAGAAAAATACATAGCTAGCAATTGACTACCCCCCAAAAAAGAGATAGCTGATCTGATAGGGTCTTCAGCTCCAAAATACTCCAGTGAACAACAATCTCATCTTCTACAGTATTTACTTCTGGCCTTCAGCTTTTTCCTCATGCTCCTCCTTTCTCTCTCTGCAGTATATTTGAGTTAATGGCAAAGTGTCAGCAAGAGGTCATTTTACCTCAGAAAAAAAAGCAGAGACTCTGATGGGTTTAACTGTATAGCCAACACACTAAGAATTGCTCTCGTTAAAGCTAGATGGGTTTGCCAAGCATCTGTTAAGCACTTGGGAGGAAAAAATGAAGCTTTAATGATAGGAAGCTTCAAAGTAAGCCAATGCCTGAAAAGGCTTTATTTAAAAATGACTCTAATTTATCATTTTCATATGGTAGCATCCACATCAGCAACTTAGTCATCCTGAATCCTGCAAGTCTGAGCTGTAAGGGAGGCAGTTTTCCTATTGCAAAATCTGCTTCTCTTCCAGGGGAACTAAATGGCAGGCCAGTTAACCAGTAGCCGGTAAGTGCAGTCCAATCCTCTTGGCAGTCTCTCTTCTGAAATAGCCTCATCTTGCCCCAAACGTAGCTGCAGTGGAATGAGGCAAATTTGTGAATCTCTCATAACAGGCTACATGAGACTCACCAGTTGGCCTCCATCACATCCAAATGCATATCCCACCTGCATCTTCAGGTTTCACTGGAATTCCTTTTAAGATTTCGCTTACGACGCCATTGCCCTAATGCAGATCCAGCTGTGTGAATCCATATATTATGCCTGGGAATTCCATTAACAAAGACTCTTAGTGGGATCTCCATCAACGAAGAAAAGCCCAATAAGAACCTAAGAATTATCAATAGATAATCAATAGATTCATGTCTTCCCGATCTCACTGCATTCATAGCAAAAAACCCATGTGTGTAATGGGCGCTCTGCCCAGGTATGGAAAACATGTTCTGATGACATTACCACATGCAGCTATTTAGAAGAGATCATCTCTCGTGCAGCCGCTTGGTGATCCTGGCATTTATATCCTGGCTGCCCCCCCCCAAAACCTCCCCCTCCTCCTCCTCTCAGAAATGTATAAATGTGCTGTCAGCATATGTGAGCACTTCGTTGTATGTTTTGGACAGCCTCGACCTTCCATCCCTCTTTAGTAGTAAAGATGCTGACCTTGCTGTCGAGGCTTTACTAATCTATGCAGCATGAAGAATTCCTTTTGTTGGTTTTTAAAGCTTGCCAGTGGAAAATTGCAGGAACCAACTACCCACAAAATAATGTAAAAACCTCTCTGTCTTCTGATGGATTACCCTGAAATGACCAAAGAAAAATATTAGGAGAAGAACTATCAAAGCAAGAATTAAAGGATTTCTTTGTCTAATGATAAGAGTAGGTATGTTTCGTGTTTTTTTTTAAAAAAGGAATCTCCTATAATTTTGCAGTATAACATTTTGGGAGTTGTGGGGATTAGAGGGCTACAACATTCCAGAGAAGGATCAAGTTCTAGATCAGATGGACTTTTTTATTCCCGATCAAGATGACTACAGAGTAAATTTTAAAAATAGAGTCCCTGCAAGAGAAAATTTAGTCAATCTCAAAAATCGGGGTGAAACCTGGACAGGACATTTCTGGGAAATATTAAGGCTCTAAACTAAATTGAAAAAAACTGAAAAACATTCTGGAAGAAAACAAACCAGTTCCATGTTGACACCCTGGAAACCACATAGATGTCTCTGTGAGGTCAGTAGGGGTCCTTGTCCAACTGGGTGGATCTTAGGAAAGTTGTGCTGGACTACTAGAAAGTTCTGAGAATGCAGCTGAGATTGGAATGATGAGAGAACATTCTAGAAGAAATCTATAGCGAACCCTTTCTGTATTGCCATCAAGAATCACTGGTGCCAAAGATGGCAGTGGGAATCAAGATTTAAACGAGACTTTACTTACTGTGATTGCTCCTCATGTTATGGATAATTTCCCATTCCTGCCACATTAATCTTTCAGGTTGGCAGTGATTTTTGGATGGGTTGCATAGGCAGCAGCCAAGGGTCTCAGGGGCCACCTGAAGTTCTGAAGTCAGTGGATGTGCTGTGCACGCTCTTCTATGGCATAATTGGGTCCTTTGGTCTTCCAATGGTGTATCCATCATTGCTGTAATTCATCCATCTTGCTGCTGATCAATCCCTTTTTCCCTTTCCCAACATTATATTATTCTCAAGAGAGGTTGGTCATCCCACAATGTGCTATTATGCTATTTTGAATCTGGTCATTTGTGCCTTGAGTAAGTATATAGACTCTACTGTTCTATTATTGTAGTTGTGTGTAAATTTACAGAATGAGCTATAACTTGCAATTTGTATCCTTTCTCTTTCATTTCAGGATGACCCAGACATTAATATAGAATGCATGTCTGAGGAGAAACATTCAAACAGCAGAGTTTGCAATGTCAGCTACCCCTTCTTCCGGGCCAAAGCAAAGGTAACTAGAGAGTCCTAAATGAAACATGCCCATCTGCCTAGGGATTGGTTGAATAAGTCATTCCTTGTCTGCATTTTTAAAGATTCCTGCTTTTTACACTATTGCTGCTTCCCAGGACAGCTCACATCAATTAAAATTTGGCACACATTCTAGAGATAAGGCAAAGAAAGAGAGAGACAAAAGAGGCCAGTATTTCATAGCCAGAAAAAGTGAGATTTATATCCATCTTAGGCCAAGCTGATTTTTTTGCTTGTAAAGAATAGCAGTTGATGGTTTTGATCTTCTTGCTGATGGATGATATATGTGCTGTCTTTCAGCTCATTGGACAACTATAAGTGGAAACAGCATTTTCTCTAGCAGGAGGACAAAATAGCCATTTGCAGCTGCATCTTTTATAGCTGATAGGAGAATTAAAGTTGGTTTCCATCTTGCCATGATGTTCTTTCTGTAGTGGACCCTGGATGAGAATAGGTTGACAGGAATAACATAAAGTTTTATGAGAATCCCAAGAATTATCAGTAAAAACCAGCAGGCAAATACTGATTCAAGTGGGCTCATACTAGAATCTACCTCTTACGTGTCTCCACATAAAAATACATTCCCTTTTCTCCAAGTATTATTTTTTACATTTTCACTTACAAATACAAGACTGGACAATTTGCTGAATAGCTGAGAAACCCTTGTTACTTTACTGAAAAACCTGTCTTCTTTCCATTTGTCCTGCTCAGAAAAAGGATGTGTCAGATCAACATAGGTTTGTGGCATCCTGTTAGATTTCTGCTCGTAAGCCAGGACCAAAAAACTCAATGACTAAAATTCATTGAGATAGATGCCTTTATAAATATCCATTATATTACATGGAAGCTTGGCCAAGAGTTCGTATGCTAGGAAAAACTACATGATATGTATCTGCGTGACCAAAGATAACTCTAGAGCCTGAAATTAAAGGCTGACTCTCTCCAGACATTGACTGAGTAATGCTGCTGAACACAAATTCAACACCACGTAATTGCAGTTGTTTTCCAAGCCAGAAGAGTTTGCTAAGAATTCCAGAACCATGAATAACTGGCAGAATAATATTAGCTTTTCCAAGTCTATGTTGCCAAATAAGAAAATAATAGGTTGGCCAAGAGGTTTCAGCTGCATTAAGATGGTCTGGCATCTTAAAAGGTCTTTGGGCAGCCAGTTAAAAGCTAGAAGACAAAGCTAAAGGTTTTCCCCCTAATCAAGCAATTTTTTTTAATTGGAATTTTTTGAATGATTAATTAACTAGTAAACTAGTTATCCACTATTATCCCCAGCAGCATAGGTATATAACCCTAAACAGAGCCATGTTTGCATAGGGTTATATTAACACACAACATCTCATCTGCTATATTGTGAGAACTGCTGGCTGTGGATTAATTGATCCTTGCTTCTCTTGAAGTTGACACTAGATCCTAATGAAAATAGATGTACCATCTATTTTGGTTTTATACACGTCCACCTAACCCCCTCTCAGCCCTGCTGGAGGGCATGAGTAAATGGAGGGAAGGGCTGGGTCCATTGGGTTGGCTCCAAAACAAGCCCCACAGATATCTGAAGAGAACTCTTCTCCAACTAACCCCATTGTGATGGGTTTTTGTTTCTTTTTAATTCCAATTTGCAAAAAGAAAAAGGAAAAAAAAAGAAATGGGAACTGAAGTGGAGCAGCTTGGGAGGGCAGAATGGCTTTGCTTTGGTGAGGGTGGGGAACTGTAAAATATGCCAAGGCCAGCAAAATCCCATCGTCAGCTGTATGGTGTCATTAAAAAGGGGCAGGGCTTAGCTCACACATTCATTGTCACCACCCTGAATTTTTGACACACACCATGAATTACAACAAGCCAGTCTTGACTGAATTGCAAAACATGAGAAACAGGTTTATGATTAAAAAAACAACCACAGATTCCAAATGAGTGCATTTGTTAACGAATCAAATAAAGAAAAGTTCAGAAAATGCAACTAACTAAAGTCTCTCCCCCCCCCCATCCCTGCAGACATTCCTGCTCACCCATAGGTTCCTTGAGGTTCTTTCTGAAAAGAAAGATCAGCCTTGGAGGTCGTCATGCACTTTTGGAGACCTTTAGTTGCTATATCAAATTGTAGAACTTTGTATTATTCATCCCAATAGCAGGCTAGGAATCCTTATATTAACACTCTTTGCAATTACATTATGCTCTTCTTCCCTTCCCCCAAATGTTAGACTTACTGCAAAGTAAGTCTACTAAGAAACAGAGTAAAAACAATCACATGGCCTACCAGCCTGGGATATTAGATGGCTCACCAGAGAATAATAAAAAGAAAGAATTGATAGAAGTTACTCAATAGAAGTAACTGTGAGAGGGACCTCGGAGTCCTAGTAGACAATCACTTAAATATGAGCCAGCAGTGTGCTGCAGCTGCCAAAAAGGCCAACACAGTGCTAGGCTGCATTAACAGAGGGATAGAATCAAGATCACGTGAAGTATTAATACCACTCTTCAATGCCTTGGTAAGGCCACACTTGGAATACTGCATCCAGTTTTGGTCACCACGATGTAAAAAGATGTTGAGACTCTAGAAAGAGTACAGAGAAGAGCAACAAAGATGATTAGGGGACTGGAGGCTAAAACATATAAGGAACGGTTGCTAGAATTGGGTATGTCTAGTTTAACGAAGAGAAGGACAAGGGGGTACATGATAGCAGTATTCCAATATCTCAGGGGCTGCCATAAAGAAGAGGGAATTAAGCTATTTTCCAAAGCACCTGAAGGCAGGACAAGAAGCAACGGGTGGGAACTAATCAAGGAGAGAAGCAACCTAGAACTAAGGAGAAACTTCCTGACAGTGAGAACAATTAATCAGTGGAACAGCTTGCCTCCAGAAGCAGTAAATGCTCCAACACTGGAAGTTTTTAAGAAGAGACTGGACAGCCATTTGTCCGAAATGGTGTAGGGTTTCCTGCCCGAGCAGGGGGTTGGACTAGATGACCTCCAAGGTCCCTTCCAACTTTACTACTATTACTATTACTAAATTGGAAGGGACCTTGAAGGTCCATTAGTCTAACCCCCTGCTCAAGCAGAAGACCCTACACTATTTTAGACAAATGGCTGTCCAGTCCCTTCTTAAAAGCCTCCAGTGATGGAGCACCCACAACTTCTGAAGGCAAGCTGTTCCACTAGTTGATTGTTCTTATTGTCAGGAAATTTCTCCTTAGTTTTAGATTGCTTTATTCAATTTCCATCCACTGCTTCTTGTCTTGCCTTCTGGTGCTTTCGAAAATAGTTTGTCCCCCTCTTCTTTGTGGCAGCCGCTCAAATAATGGAACACCACTATTGTATCACCCTGTCCTTCTTTTCACTAGAGTAGACATACCCAATTCCTGCAATCGTTCTTCATATGTTTTTGTCTTCAGCCCAATCATCTTTGTTGCTCTTCTCTGCACTCTTTTTAGAGTCTCTACATCTTTTTTATATTGTGGTGACCAAAATTGATGCAGAATTCCAAGTGTGGCCTTGTGAAGGTATTATAAAGCAGTAGTATAATGGATAGTATAAGGGAATACTGGCAGAAATACATTTTAATGTCTTAAATCTGTTCTGATCTCTACAGGTTGCTTTTCGCTTGGATTTTGAGTTCAAAAAGTCAATTTTCCTCCAAAACCTGGAGATATTTTTGAATGCCAGCAGGTTGGTATTTTTTTTTTTACTTCTTCTATCACCCAATCCTGATCATTTGTCTTTTTTCTCTCACCCACCCCTGTTCCTCCACCACCCCCAAACTGGATTTCTCCCTCTGGCTTCACTTTTGTAACTGTTTCTGGTTTCCCACTTCTGTTGCAAGACTGCTATCAACCATGCTTCCTCCTCAGGTGATTTTTTTTTTTTTTTGCCATGAAAATACTAATTGGAAACATGGGTGTCAAAAGTGTGGGAGGGCAATAGGCCACATATCCTCTTCTGTCTGGAATTTTGATCTGGGCTGGGCATCATTAGACCCCTGCAAACACCAGTTCAGCATATACATCCAAGAATGCCACAGCTATATCTCAAGGGCTAGTTAAAAAGAAAGTACTGCAAAGTAATTAGAAAATTGTGGGTATTAAAATCTTAAAAGTTTCACTTCTGAGGGAGGAATTCTATTGTGGCAGAATTAGAAGAGATTTATATTCCTTGCAAATCCTTCCATTCTCCACCATTCAGTCAGAACTGAAGAAGCTTCTTGGATGAGAAGCAAAATGTCTTCAAGGAAAAACAAAGACAGTCCAGTTGCCTCCTGAAAAAACACCTTTGGGGAAATTTCCTGCTTTTTTTGTTCTTATGTGTGACTCTGCAAGTCTGGTATACCAGCAAAGGGATGGAACATTGGATCTCTGAAAAGGAGTGACATAAACTTAAAATCACGGTGTTCTGAAAATTCAACATCTTCATTCTACTGTTCCTGTTATGATTCAAATGTGCATACCATGTCTACAATTCTTTGTCCATGTTGAATGTGAAAACTGGATATTGAAATACAAGGGAAATTTTATGCATCCAGAATTCCTTTATATTTCATTTTATAACAATAAAAATAACATTAGAAAAAAAAAAGAAATTGGATATATAAATTACTTTCTGAGATGCTCGGAAGTTAAAATTTTTCCTGGGAATGGGGAGTTTGTCCAGTTCCACTACAGAACAGTGATGTTGTGCTGACTCCTGGGCAGCAACCACAGGTTTGATTTTGCCTTTGGAAATGTTTTCACATTAGATGGATTTGCTGGCAAGAAATACTATTTCAAACCCAAATGCATTGCTTGGGATGGCACTATTATGAAACAGAGTTTTGGTTCTTAAAAAGTTCACTCAGTTTACAAGCTCAGGCAACAGCAGTATTAGCCTTGCCATTCACCTAAAGGGAATTAATGTACACTCTTCCTGGAAGTGTGTGACAGCAGGCCAACAGCTGTTTGTAACCATCTCCCAATCCCAGACCCAAACATATCTGGAGAAAATACTCAACCAATGATATACAAAATGCCCTGTTATAATTTGAAAGCAGCACAATAATATATGCAAACTGTTGCTACCAGTGAAACAAACCATGGGACATTTAAACCATGGAACTAAGGATTGGATTTGATAACCCCTGAGCTTCATTCTAATTATATTCTTAAGCAACGGATTCACAACACTGAGCAATTTTTCCAACTTGGAGAGTAGTTATCCTTTATTTTTATTCTACCTTTCAGGAATAAAAACACACAAGAGAAGGGAAACATAAGGCTGAAAAGGAGTTTTCCCATCGCAGCTAAAAGAAAGTGAATATTTATATCCAGTTTCGGCCGATCTGTTTCCAATTTTTTTCTCAAGATTCTAGACATTATTTCTTTTTCACACAGCATAACTGAAGCTGGAAGAGGCAATGGCAAACCACCTCCATACTGTTGCCAAGAAAACATCTGTTAATGATGTCCCCAGAAGCTGCAGATTAGTTTTTAAACTGAATGCAATTTTTATGTCACTCTCACCATGAGCATGCTTTTACTTCTAAATTTGTTTCTCTTTCCTAATAAGAAGAAAAGTTGGTGCGTTGAAGTTGCAACTCCCTAGCTGCATTTGCTGAAAAAATAGCAAGTCAAGCAAATTGCAGAGATGGAAAAGATCCCAGGATAGTATCAAATCCATAATTCCAGCCAGTGGTGGAAAAAAACACATTTTTCTCCCTGCTTCAGCTAGGAATGTTGACTCATATGAAGCAAAGATCAGCTTTGACATGTCTGTAATGTGCCTATTAAGCCAATAGAGCACTGGCAAAGGAATACTCTGTCTCCTGCCAAAATCACCAAGACTTCAATTGACAGAAATTGCTACTCTAGGGAAGGAGACCAGAGCAAATATATGCATTAAGTGCACAAAGGAAAAACTGAGCTGAATGGGTTGATGGGTGTCTGTTTGTGAGTCTAACAGCTTATAGTAAAAGTCAGCGAGGTCCCCAGTAAGGCAGGGATCCCCAACCCCCAGTCCGTGGACCAGCACCAGTCTGCAGCATGCCAGAAACAAGCGAAGCTCCATCCGCGGGATGCAGGCAGCACACAAAACCATGCTCCCCTCAGTCCACGGAAAAACCTCTCTCCATGGAACTGGCCCCTGGTACTCAAAAGGTTGGGGGCCACTGCTGTAAGAAGTCAGTATTTTCCCTAGGAGATGTAGCTATCACTTTATGGCCAATCAACGTTGTACCTTTTTTATGGGATGGCCCCTAAATGGATCTCTGGTTCCATTTTTACATTCTAGTGACAGTGAAGAACAAGAAAGCACGAAAGAGGACAATTTTGCTCTCCTCAAGTTTCAGCTGAAATATGAAACTGATCTCCTTTTCACCAGGTATTCTGGATATGTACTGAGTGAGTTTTGCATTGCCATAATTCATCATTCTGAAAATGATGATGTATTCTGTGTGTTCAGATCTTCTGAGCAGTGGGAACAGTTTTTATTTTGATTGGGTTCTCCTTTTTTTTGCTGCTCTTCAGAGGTTCCAGCCAGAACTATTATGAGATTGAACCCAACAATTCTCTACAGACATACGATAGAATCGGCCCACCATTTAATTGCACTTTTAAGGTAAATTCATTTTTTGTTCTAAGCAATATATTGGGAATGGGAGATGGCTTCTTGCAGAAGAGGGTCACATGCTACTTTTTTTTCCCTTCAGCTGCAAAATCTGGGCCTATTTCCTGTAGATGGGATAGTTATCAAAATCACAGTCCCAGTGGCCACACGAGGAGGGAATCGCCTTCTGCAGCTAAGAGGCTTCCATGCACCAGAGGTATCCAGAGTTCCTACTTATTATTTTGGTATTAGAAAACCTCAAGATATAAGCCTGAATGATCAGTCAGGCACCTCAAGAGAAAAGCACATCATCTACCTAGCTAATGAATGAAGATGACAATTGGGGAGGGTATTTTTCTTCTCAGGTGGACACATGTCCTTGTCTCCTTAGTAATAGGCTGCCCTCCTGTTAAAGTTTTGTAGTTCAGTTTATTTTTTTGTGTATATTTAGTATGATGGTTCATTCTATCATTCCATGTAGTAAACACATTCAAACATTAAGTTAATTAAGTAATCAGTGGTTTATTTCTAGAATTCTTTTTTCCCCTCGATGGGTGTTGGCCTTACGTTGGGAGTACTGATGAGAACACTACTTGCACTCCTAGCTTCTTAACTTTATTGCCTAGTTGTTTGTAATCCCTCACTATTGTACTCAGGTTGTTTGTTGTGTCATTCGTCCCAATGTGAAGGAGAAGGAAGGGGTAGTAATCTGTAGGCCTAATTATTTTGGTTAGGTTCTCAGCCACATCTCTGATATTTGCTCCAGGGAGACAACATACCTCCCTGGATTGTACGTCTAGTCTGCAGATGGATGATTCTGTTGCTTTGAGGATAGAATCTCCTATTACCAACATTCTCCTTTCTTTTTGGGGGGCTGCAGTCTGGGTTGCTTTTCTTTTTCTCTCAGGTGTGTTTGTTGATGTGACTTTTTTAGGGATATTTGTAGTTATTTCTTTGCTAGGTGTCCGCATGTTTTCTTTGAGGGGGAGGTTGTGGGTCTGCATGTCTCCATCTAAGGGGAGAAATGGATTGCTCAGTTTTCATGGGGCTGCTTCTGGTTGGGAAGGATTGGGCAGAAGGGGTTTGTTACCAGTAGTTGTATGCTGCTTCTTTCTTTGAGTATTGTGTTTCCTTCTCTGTGTGACATACCTCCATTTGTCTTCCTCCAAGGGTTTATCAGTAGAATCAAATCCTCTGGGAGTTACTTATTCATTATTTGGTTTGGTTTGGATGGAGCTTTCTTTCTTACATTGGGGTTTGGCTAGAGATGCCTCTAAGTTCCTAACCTTTTGCTGTAGTAGTTCACATAATTTGCATCTAATGCATGTATAGTTTGGGTGTTCTTTGGGCATGAGCCCAAATACACGGAACAGTCATTTGTTCCATGAGTTTGTTGCTTGAAAATCCCTCTTTTTGGTTGGTGGATGTGTTTTGCTGTTGGCCTTGTTTCTAGCTTCTCTGTTCTGGGTAATTGTGCCTATTTTTCTATTGTTGAACAAAGTCTTATCAATTTGGAAATTCAAAATCTTCCTTGTAATGTAAAGACAGTTTTTCTTGTTTTGTGTTTTGGAACAATTTGGAACAGTTCTGCCCCAAAGTGATGGGAACTACTTCAAAAATCAATAATGATCTGAAAATTGAGAAAAAAAATAAAGAAAAACAATGAAAACATGCAATGTGGAAGGCTATAATTCCAGGAGCTGTCAGACAAGATTCAAACAGGCACTAGAAGGAAGCAATGAAATATAATAGAAAACTGTCTAATGGCTCACCTTTTCGTGAGTTAGGTTTTCTTTTCTCCTCCCAATTGCTATTTGAAACTGAAAGAGGCCCTTTGTACACGATGGGCAGATGAAGGACCCCAAGAGAAGAGATCCAAGAGCTTTCGTGGTCAAAGGAGTATTTAACAGTGGATGGTAAAGCGTGTAATCCCATTTTTTGTGATTATGGATGGCATGTCTGCCTCCTTAAAGTCACGGAGTTGGTCCAGACCTCAAAATAAACGAGAGCATCTGTTTATTTGATTAATGATTCCAGACCTCTCTGTTATAGAATGGTATGATGTGCAATATTGGAGGCAATGACACAGACTATCGAAGGACACCCTCGGATGAGGATTTAGGCCGTCATCCCCAGCTGGTAAGTCCTTTCAGTATCATAGCATCGTGGTGAAAGTTCTTTGGCCACTTCCTGAGCACAATGGTGCTGTGTCAGGCTGCACAGCAAATTGTCAGATGACCTCACCCAGCAGCCTTATGTAGATGGCCTCAGATAGATGCTCAAAACAAGTTCATGCAGCCATTTTGAAGGAAATTCCATCAGACAAAGAACTTCCGGGTTAAAGGGGGGAAATGGCTCAATGTCTTGCATTCCACCAAACCTCACTTGTCTTTTTGTTCCAGAATTACAGTAATTCTGATGTGATTTCAATCGACTGCAGTGTGAATCTGGCTGCCAATGAAGAAGTCAGCTTTCTCTTATATGGAAATTTGTGGATGAGGACCCTAAGAGTGGTATGGATAAGATGCAAATTGCCATCTTTGCTAGCAGCCAACACAAGTAATTGGCATTAGGTCCTGCTCTTCCAGGCCGTGCTTCTTCCTACAGATGGAGTGATGGTCAGATTTTTACCTTCCGCACTAACTTGTCTTTCAGTGGTAATAATAGTTATCCCGAAGCAAGCGTTCTTAGTCCAACTGGGGAACAAGAGTTTCTAGAGTTCACATTAGTTGCAGAGAGAGAATTTGGTCCAACCAGGAGCAGCTGGGATTTAAGATGAACATAACATCAAGGAAATTTAAAATGAGATTATATTTCAAAGAAAGAAGTGTGTGATTCTCTACCGCTAAAAAAATTAACTATTAGAGTAAAAATGGAAGCAGTATTGAAATTGGCAAGAAAGTAGCTGGAATCCTTCATGGAACTGAAAAGTCTCATCAGTTATGTCCCATTTCGCAGATTTGGTGTATTCCCCCAATCGCAAGATACTCCATTTTTCCCACCTGCCAAGCAACAGTCCCTCTATAACCAAGGGCACGTCAAACCACGTTGAGAGACTAGGAAGGCATTATGAAGAGAAGACAGGCTATTTTGTGCCGTCCTCTTGTGTCAGGAGACAGAATTCTTCCGGATGTGTCAATGCGTTGATCCAAGAGAGCATTCTAACCTCTGTAGGCAATAATTAATTACAGTGAATCAATTCTGACTAAACTAGGTGACCTCTGTCCCTCCTAGGACATGTCCATACATGTGTCAAAGCAAGAATATTCAATATTAGCAGCTCTAAGCAGTGTTTTGTATATTGTGTGAACTTAATATTTATAGTTTCTTCCACCAGCTATAGTTAAAATCAAGCATGGCTTAGCATTCTGTGTGAACTGAGCCACTGATTCTCTCATATCTGTCCAGCTGAAATTCAAGACCTTCAGATTCATCTTCAATGCTGCCTTGCAGAGAGGGTTTCGTAGTGCCTTTATCTTCAGAGAAGAGGATCCTAGTCGCCAGGTAAGCCCAAAGATCTCACCTGCTCACGCACCAGTCAGCTTGACTCTTTGGAGGTCATAGTAAGATGCTAATGGAAGCTGGAGCTCAACTTTGTAATGATAGGAACTGTGGGCTCTGTAGCTTTCACATTTCTTCGGATCCTGATCTTAGATTGCCACTAATGGTTTAAAAAATACAGTATGTCTTTCCAAGCCACCCAGAGAGGAAGAGACAAAAAAGTCAAGACCGCAGTCAAAACCATGCAATCAAAAACCTGTCTCTTTTTTACATGTGCCACAATATGTATACAAAAGGGGTGGGACTTTGACAACAGGATTGTGGCTGGATTATTCGACCCTCTTGTGGACACGCCTGACCAGTCTACATATTCCTCTCTCCACTGGCCATCTCTTCTCTAACTCATAACTCATCTTGCTGTTACAGATGTAGCCTTTAATATGCCTTCAGTTCTAACTTCATTCCCTTTGGAGAAAGTTAGCGTCAGCTGTCATTCTGGCATTAGTAACAGCAGCCAAGGAATTTCTTAACAAAGTGAGACTTATAAGTCTTTCTATTATTAATAATAACAATCTTGTCATTATTAATGAGAAAGAAAATTAAAGTGGAATAACAGTGTTACTTTGTAAACTTCCTTGAAAAGATCTGATTCCCAAAAAGCTGGATATAAGCTTCATAACAATTTCATAAAGTATGGCAGGGATTGCAGTATATTACAATCTGCATGAAGAAGTAGAATAAAACTGATGACTATTTCAGCCATTCGTCAGTTGCACATTCCCCATGGATGTGGTTTGAGCTTTAACTGCTACAGTAATGTCTATGTGTCATTGGTGTGGAAGTTCAAAATCCCTGGAGGACCATGTGTTGCCAGCCAAACTATGTTCTAATGTTGAGGAGCATCTCATTTTAGCAATAAGAATTATTTGAGGGAAAATAGTGGTTTTGAAGGAAATTACATTTTTTAAATTTTGAAAGATTGCTAAATTAATGAATGTACAGCAACAAAGTGGAACTTTGTATTGCATATGTTTTAATCTCCCTTTCTGGTGTTGGAGGCAGTTTAGAAATTAATGGCCATCATGACAATCATGGGCTTCTCCCAGATCATCACTGGCCTGATCAACACTGCAACACCTTTCCTCAAAACAGAAGAGATGTGATATTGTTTGTGAATGACATTTCCATAGACCAGGCACTTATTCTTGATGATGGATTTAACCAGAGCTATCAAGCCACTCAGAAAGGCTGGTGGCTGATTAAGATGGTACCTGCAGGCACCAGATAGAACTGGGGGGTTTCTGATTATCACTTTAGAAATTTCCAAACAGTGGAAGTGACCTGGATGTTTGATAGGATTGCCTGAATAACCTTTACTCCTCCATTGATCTCAGGGGATCTTTGCTTTTCTGAGGAATTGAAAATGAAGCAAACAGAGATACCCAGAGGGATGCTGGTGGAAAATGAGGTTGAATCTGAGGCATATGAATTCAAGTCTACTCTCTAGTGATAAGGGCGTTGAAGCGTAACTCCACCCTTATGACATCTGCAGGGGGCTGTCAGCCAGCTTCATTATTCATAACAACCCAGGCCCTGTTAGGTAATAGTCAACTGGAACATCCAGTAACAGTAATGTGTAAACATCTGGCCAGTAATCTCATAGATTAAATCATTCATACTTGTTTCAAACTGAAAGCTGGATCAGCAAGACATATCTAGCAACCTTAACTGAGCTTTAGGATCTTGAGGAAGCAAAGTTCTTTTGGGCATAAGTTCCACCACTTGTGACCTTGATTCCTATTCCTTCTAAGGGATCAAGAAGGGACAAGGACTAGATTTGAGTAATGCATTATTGAGGAAGGGAGATGTACCAACAATCTTAAAAGACAATCCAGCAATTACCAATTTATATCCAACTTTTCTTTTTGAAGAACATTGAGCAGCAAGTTGTCAGTCCTCCAAGATAAAATCAGAAAGCAAGAGTTGCTGGTAGTCTTGCTAAGTAGTTTAATGAGGTATTTAATATTGGATTAAAATCTTGAAAGTCTATCTCAAAGAGCCTTCAACTTACACCTAACTCAATCAAGATGGAGTTGTCCGAATTTCTTTTTCAATTTCTGCTTTCTACTGCCCAGGACTGAAATACTATTTTTGTAACTTTCCACATTCTCCTGATATTCCCTCACACAACTACAGAGGCTCTGGAAGAAGTAGATTGTCTGGATTCTTGGCACTTAGGATTTAGGCCTAAAGAAGGATGCAGTCTGCAATTCTGGCTCTCACTGATGAGTTATGGTGGAACATGGAGGGAAGGCGGGAGTACAGCTATCCTTGTGCTGCTGGATCTTTCAGTGGCCTTTGGTATTGTCAGCCAAGGTCCTTCTTGTCCTCCTGTGAAGGTTGGAAGTAAGAGACATCATTTGTGGTTGTTTCACTCCTTCCTGAATGGGCAAGTCTTGGTCAGTGGTTTCAGCAGAAAGAACAAACCCATGGGAATTCCAGTATGGGTGACTGAGGACCTAGTCTTTCCCTCCAATTTGTTTATTTGGGGCTTAGGTATCTTAGAGACCGCCTATTCCAGTATATTTTGCTTGCCAAAACTGGGAGAATAGAATGCCTGCTGAAGTTCCCCCCATCAGTGGGAAGAAGCACAGAAATAGGCACTAGAGCAGTTTGCCCCTGACACAAAAGTTATTCCGTCTCTCATGACCTTCCAAGAAGTTAATAAACCCTAATTTTTCCAGGTCTTTGTAGACCGAAATAGCTGGAACAGTTACCTATTTCCATTGCAGCACTGAAATACTTCTTCATTGTTTACAAAACTCCTTAAACCACCTCAGATGGAGCAGGAGCACCCTCTTCTGAGCAGTTGAGGCTCAGCAGCACCAACAAAAGAGGCTGCCTTGTTTCTGCAGTCTCACCATATGAGAACTCACCTTCTAGACAGAACTCCCTGCAAATCCTATTTGACCTCCCGCGCCTTCCAAAACAGTTGACACTGGAAGAGTTCCATGTTACGTCTCGCTATTCTTTTTCCCCTTGTAGATTGCATTTGAGATCTCCAAGGTCGAAGAGTCCCACATCCCCATCTGGATTATAATTGGGAGCACGTTAGGTGGTTTCCTGCTGCTGGCACTGCTAGTGCTGGCCCTCTGGAAGGTAAGCCTACCTGCAGCCACTCAGGGTAGGCATGGATGCATTAGGATCATTAGCTCATCATCAGGAGCACTTCTACCACTTTAGGCAAGCTGCCCACTTGGGGCCAAAATTTTCCATGCAACCACAATGAAGAGCAGTGGAGCCCAAAAGAACTCAAAACCATCATGCATTTTGTAATGCTGGATTCCGTTGCCCACACAGCATTACATGCGTTGAGTTATACCGGACACCCTTAGCAATACAGTCAGATGGCAATTTCACATCTCTATAAGTAGAAATTTTTCTGAAAATTCTTTTTATGATAACACAGATCAGGTTTCTGTTTTTGTGCATTAATCTATATTACCAGTTACTCATAAACACAAATTTTTCATTGTAGCAAAAAACTAGCTGGTTCTTTTCTTTGGTAGGAATAACCAGGGAAGAACAGGCAGTCCTCGACTTACAACAGTTCATGTAGTGACCATGCAAAGTTACAACAGCACTGCAAGAAGTGACTCATGGCCATTTTTCAATTTCAGTTTTATGACCATCGTGGCATGCCACAGCCACATGATCAAAATTCAAACGCTTGGCAACTGACCCATAGTTACGGTGGTCGCCATGCCCCGGGATCACGTGATCCCCTTTTCCACCTCCTGACAAGCCAAGTCAATGTGGAAGCCAGATTCATGATTTAACAACCTTGTTATTAACTTAACTGCAGTGACTCACTTAACAGCTATGGCAAGAAATGTTATAAAACAGGTCAAAACTCACTTAACAAATGTCTCAGCAGAAAGAAGTTTGGGCTCAATTGTGGTCGTAAGTTGAGGACTCCCTGTACGGCAGTGTTAGGTTGCATCAACAGGGTAATGACATCAGAGGAAGTGATAGTAGCAGTCTATGCTGGACTGGCCTGACCTCATGAGAAACACTATGTCCAGTTGCTGAGGAATCAGACTGCAGAGAAGAGCAACAAAGAGGGTGAGAAATTTGGAGACTAAATCCCGTGAAAAGTATTTAAAGGACCTGGATATTTTAGCCTAAAGGAGAGAAGGCGGCGGGAGGCAGAATAGCAACCTTCCAATCTTTTAACAGCTGTCACAGAAAAGAAAGAATAGATTTTTTTTCCCATAGCACCCAAAAGTAGGACGAAGACCAAGGGGTGGAAGCACTCTAAAGAGAGAGACCAACTCCAAGGGAGAACCCTTCAGCAGCTTCCCTCCTGGAAGCCTGGGTGCTGCGTACGAAAGCTTTTCCATAAAGGTCGGATAGCCCTTTGTTTGGGAGGGTCTCGGGGTTCTGTCCTCGGCAGAGGCTTGGAGGAAAACCTCCAAGATTCCTTTCAGCCCTGCGATTCTCAGAAAGTCAAGAGGGCAACTGCAACCATGCAAAACCTGAATCTGTGTATGAGTCACAAAGTTGCCATCTTGGCTTTTTTCACCCCTAATACGAAGATCTTTGTACACTAATTTCTCCCTCATTCTAAACAGCATAAAAAGCAAAAACAGTTCTTGCTTATGGTCTTTCTATAATTATGGTTGGGTTTTTTTCCTTAATGGAGGTTTTATATATAGTATAACTCTGTGATGGCGAACCTTTTAGAGACCGAGTGCCCAAACTGCAACCCAAAACCCACTTGTGCATGGTCGGGTGCCGGGTGGGTGTGGCCCATTGGCTGGGTATGGCCAATCGGGTGGGTGTGGCCCATTGGCTGGGTGTGGCCAATCGGGTGGGTGTGTCCCATTGGATGGGCGTGGCTGCGGTGGTAACGGCAGACTGGGTGGGACTAAAAAGTTCAATCAATTCCAACTTTGCGAGATCTTTTTTTCCCCGTGAGAAGTTGAAATTGATTGACTGAACTTTTTTTTTTTTTTGCACACAGCGGAGGCCTAAAGCGAAACGGTTTTATAAAACCCAGCTGAAGGCCTACGACTGGAGCAATGGCGCACGCGCCCACAGAGAGGGCTCTGAGTGCCGCCTCTGGCACTCGTGCCATAGGTTCACCACCACTGGTATAACTGGTAAAAAATCAGACGATGTTTCTTGCCTTTTTTTCTTATTTCTTAATCTTTAAATGTTTTAAATTCTTCATGTTATTTTTTAAGCAAAAGTGAAAAGTATTAACATAGCCTATATGTTTTAATAGGTAAATTACAGTTAAATTTTCTGGCCTTCAGTTTCAATGATTTGTTTGTTAAACAATTGAAAAAAGCAATCTCAGTCCTTTCAGAGTTGGCAAATTCAGTCAATGCATGAAATTTACAGAAGATTTTCTGGTTTGTCTTATATCTCTTTAGCTTGGTTTTTTTCAAAGCGCCACCCACAAGAGAGATGCAAGCCAGGATCAGACTGCCAAAGATTTGGACTAAGGTTTCCATTGTCCTGAGCATACCAGCTGGTCTTTTTCTCACAAATAAGTTTACTTTGCTGTATAGCCAGTTTCCTTTTGCATTGATCAATTTCCCAGTTACCTGAAAGCAACCCAGCTGCTAAGTGTTACCCTGCAAAGGAGAAGCCTCCACCAGCAAGGACTTCAAACTAATTTTGTTTCCTTCTGCTTAAGATATTGGAACTATACAATAAGGACAGGAAGAAAGTAGATCCACAAGGAGCAGCTTTCTCTTTAAAATGATCTACTTTGGCCACAAGACTGAGGGAACAGATGCCAAAAGACTCCAATCCTTTACTGCACGTGCAAGATTGTTTGGGATGATACGTTTTTCAGTCTGCACTTTCATTGGGGAAACTTTGCTCCTAAAATAAAAAGGAGTGGAAAGTCTAGATACTTGAGCTTTCACTTTCCTTCATTCAAGCTGTCAAGGATGAACAGGTCAGGCATCTGCAGTGCACTTCCCTAAAAACAAATCAAGTTGCTATAATAAAATGTTTTATTCCGGATTACTTAAGAGACCTACAAATCTTGCTGGACAAAAGTTGATGCTTTCAAATGAGATCTGCACACCTTCTGAGCACAAACTGAGATCACTAGAACTAAGTGGAGATTAATTTGCAGAGGGGCACAAGTAGCAGGTATCTGAAGAGCAAAGAAAATGGGTAGAGGTGATCAGTAATCATGTTACCAGATTATATTTGCAAGGGTATCAGTAAAACCAGGCGCCCGATGGTTTGGAAGGCCCAGGCTGATGATACAATGTACTGGATGCTGCTTCTGCGCACAGACTCCTGTTCCTTCTCAAAGCCAGAAGCACAGAAGTGTTCACAAAGAGGATGCAGCCAACAACCCACCAGCTTTTTTGTGGAGATCTTTTTATATGCACTGAACAAATACCCATAATTATAAGCACCTTAATGCAAATCTTCAATCCTCAGCTGTATATACTCATTTAGAAAATGTTTAACTTTCTTATTTTTAAGGTGACTTTAAGAAAAGAAGACCAGTTTGAAGAATTTTCCCCAAGTTGTGCAATTTCCAAAATCAACAAGTGAGGAAAAATGTTATATATGTATATACTTCTGTATATTGGAAAGGGTTTAATTGACTATTTTTCTTCTTTTGCATATACTTATTTATGCCAGTGTTAATATTGATAAGTGAAAATGAGATATTGGTTCAACGGAATTCAATAACACAAAATGTACCATTAGGGTTGTTTTTTTTTTTAAGAATAGGAAAAAAAAAGTTTAAAATGTTTAAATATTCTCCTTTGTCTACAGCCAGTTTTAATGCATTATAAATATAACTTTCCCATTCAGGTGAATACTACACATCCAGCTCTGACGTTCAGTGGAAGAATCTCGTTACTCAACGAGTTAACAGTTGCAAGAGGCTGTAGCTGAGCAACTTGAAGCCCTCAAAAGCCATGAGGTTTCTTGGCACCCTGTTAAGAGTTGTCACCAGACCTCATCCTTAATGTAAAAGAAAAGTGGGGGCTATTGTATGATAGAAAATAGCCCTATTAATTGCAGTGAATTTCACATTTAATTCAAATCGACATTAGTTTTCTGTCCACTTTGGGGCTTGAAGCATAAAAAAATCAAGTGGACCCTTGACTGACTCTTTCAAAAATCTACTCCCTCATATCAGGACATTTTAGTGATGACGTGAAGCTGTTGCTTTCACAGATGGTGGTGTAGAGGTAGGTAGGTCTCCTTAGAAGAAGAAACAAAATGGACTCTTAAGACCAACTGTCACAGTTGTATTTTTCTAATTTGCTTTGTGCAGGAGTGGTAGTTTTTCTTCTTCAAGACAAGCTAGAAATATTTCAAATAAATTCCATTTGGATAGATATTCTGCCTACATTCTGGTTTGTATGGTTGAATACTGTTTATTTCTGCCATGCTGTTTCTCTTTCTTTGGCCCAGTATGGTTTTGCTCGTTCCTTTGATTGTTGGAATATTTTAAGCCTGAACAAGAAACTGCCTTAAAAACCTTAGGTGGCTAATACTTCATTTTATACATTTGTTTTCCATTTTCCATCAAACATAGCTGCAAGTGGAGGAAATATCAAGACAAATCAGGTTGCGGAGTGGAATCCTAACAAATGAACCCTTAATACCGTCATGCAACCATATTCCACTGAAGCACATGGAGCAGAGAGGGCTTCCCTCTCTGCCTCTGTTGCATCTGCATAGGCTGGCAATCCTCTTCCAGGGTGAGGCACTCCCTCCATCCTGGGAAAAGTGCAGCAGAAGAATGAGCAGCCCACCGGAAGCAATTTTCCCAATTTTTGGGGGCAGGAAGGCCAATCCGATGTACTTCGATTCAACTTCCAGCGATGGGACAAGTCATAAGGAAGCCCTGTCCCTGGAGATTCTCAGGCCATGGTTGTCCCACAGGTGCTTTTTCAAGAGGCAACTGCACTTTCTTTGTTTTTCGCTTCTCAGAACTGAAGAGGTTTCCTGGATGAGAAGCGAAATGTCTGCAAGGAAAAACCAAGGAAGTCCAGTTGCCTCTTGAAAACGCATCTTTGGGGAAGCCTTGGAAACTTTTCCCATGTTAACAGTGATTCTTTTCAGCTTTCAAGGAGACAGACTAAGCATGCGTCCATCGACTCTCCCGGTTGATCCAACTGATCAGTCCAGGACTGTTCCCCATGGTTGTAGACGACTGTGGCATCCTTAAGTGATACCTGCCTTCCCGCTTACTCAAGAGGCAGCAATATCCTGGACCGTTAATGACTTTCTGTTCCTGGGTGAAGCAGTTAAGAGGCTGGTGGCCTCATAGCTTCAGAGGCATCTGATTGAAACTAATTGTCTGGAGATTTCAATGGGAACTTCACTCAGGTTATGGTACTGGGACTGTTTTGGTAATCCTGGTGAATCCTATGCCACAAACTAGAAGTTCTCTTGGTAGTTAGCAGTCCTGAACATGACTTAAATTCAACAATAAGCATGCTGAGGGAGAACAAGCTGCAATTAAATCCAGACGGGGCAGAGGTGCTAGTTGTAAGGAAAAAAAGATGTGGAGATTCAAGAGAGACGTGCTGCACTCCTCCTGAAAGGGCAGAATTGTAATTTGGAATGCTGCTTGACCCTTCAAGTGATCCTGGATTTGCAAGTGAGAACACATTTTCAAGGCACAACTAATGCACCCAAACAATTCTTCTTTAACTAGTCAAAATTAGCAACTGTTAGTCCATATTTTCGTTACAACCTGGCTTGAGTACATCAAGCTTTACATGGAGGTATTTTACCACCGATTTAGATTCTGCTTTGGATTTTAACTGTATTGTTTACAACTGTATCTTTAACTGACACAAGTCATTTTAAATGTGGTAGTAGATAATAAATCAACATACTGGTAGCTCCTACTGACCTCACAGTGGCTCACAACGTACATACAATAGAATGGGAGTCATCATCTTACCTTTTGGTTCAATACTATCATAATATGGAAAAGAGAGAAAGAATCTCAAGACATAGCCAAAATTGAATGGCAGCTGATTCAGAGCAACCCACAAATCACTTCTTTACCCAATTCCTGCCTTCCAAAATGGATTAGATATGTAATGGATTAGATTGTAATATATTCTTCAGATGAAAAGAGGCAGAACATATCTCCAAGTCTTGAACTAGACACTGGGAATCAAAAACAGGAGGACACTTTCCTCCTATGGCTGCATAGGAAGACAAAATATTCTTGAAACAAACAGTAATCTACAGTTGACTGTAAGCCATTTACAATCTGAAAGGCAAAGGATATCAGTCACATTTTAGCCTAACAGCTCACAAAAAGTTCACTGCTTGTACCGCTATTTTTCAGATCTAATCTGTTCAGTGAAATTTCTTGGGACAACCTTGGTATTATGTTCATTCCAAGCCTTTTACTTGTGCTTAAAAGAAATACCATAATTACACAGTTAATTAAATTAGACTAAAATAAAAAATAACCATGTATATATTTATAAAATTTTAACCCAGTTTTCATTGTTAAAAATAAACTCCATGGTCTGGTTTGCCAACACGTACTATAAAAGTAGGACCATGCATTGACAGTCTTTACAATTTGCATTGTTATGGCTTTGAAGAAGTTGCTGAGCTGCTGAACCAGTTCTCTGATACACAGCTAATGAATTGCAGCATGAAGACAAGACAACAAATTAGTTTTATTTCACATCATTTGATGTGACTATTTCTTTCAACCATCATTTGACAAACTACAATGGCATGTTTCCAAAAAAAATACTGCAATTTATAAATAATAATCACTGCTTTCATTAAAAAAAGCCCAAAACAAAGAAATTGTATTATAGTTTATCATTGAATTCTAGAGTTGGAAGAGGTCACTGAGGCTCAAACCCTGCTCCATGCAGGCATCCACTGGGTGTTCTTCAAAACTACTTTCCTCCCCTGGATTAACACATGCTTGCCATTTGTAAACATCTTAGTGCAGTGGTTCTCAACCTTTCTAATGCCCTGACCCCATAATACAGTTCCCCATGTTGTGGTGACCCCCAACCACTTATACATCACCGGGTGCCAGGGGCATGGCCAAAGAAAAGGGGGAAAAAATGGCGGACAGCCTTGTTTGGCGACCCCCGTGAAATGGTCGTTCGACCCCAAATGGGATCCCGACCCACAGGTTGAGAACCACTGTCTTAGTGACTTACAAAACTATTGTTGCAACGTACAAAGTAGTGGATTAATAGGGAAGAAGGCAGATACAACAATCAGAAATAGAGGCAATGCATGTTTTGTATCTATTTTTGAAATAGATACAAAATATTTTGTATCTATTTGAAAAATGGAAGTTTATATGCAATGGGCGGAATTGACTTCTCTCTGAAAAATATTATGCCCTTACTGATGTCAAACAGGTAGCAGTAACAAATCATCTTTGCAACGTAACAAATTAGAATTAAGACCTGGTTTCACATTCAAGATTTTATTTGTAGTACAAAGACATACACCTGTGCCCAGAATGTCTTTTCGAATAGAACTGACACTTTTAAAAAAATGACAGACCGTTCTTCCACATTTTGACAAAGTGACATTTAAAATAATGGCAAGTGCTTCCAAAGACCTGTCAAAAATCTAGCCCTAGGCTGCTGACATTTTTGCCAAAGATGCTTTCCCAGGTCAAACGTTTTTCACACAATCGAGTTACTACGAAAAATTAATTAGATGGCTTTGGGAGGAAGGCATTTTTTGGGGGAGAGGGAGCCATGATCAATAGACTGAAAACACAACATTATTTTCAGAGCAGGACAACGTCATTTATTCTTCGCTGATCCTTCCTAATACAGTTTTCAAATATTATTTCTAAAAAAATATGAGCTCATCTTTTGAAAAAATCCGTGCTTGCCAGCTAGTTGGAAGATAGTAGGAAAACGCAATTCAGATAAAATTCTAGATGAGGGGGGTCTATCCAAAACCACCATGCTTACCCATACACACATAAATACCAACAGCATTTTTGCATGTCACTCAACTGAAAAAATACTTCTGCATAAAGAATTGAGTTGGAAGAGTTGTATTATTTTTTTTTCTAAGAATCAGTGAAAAATATACTATTAACAATCCCATTCTCTTGTCTGAATTTCTGTCTGATGGGAAATAATCAGTTATTTTCATTTCATTGCAAGCAGAAATTAGAAACAAAAGTTACTGATATCGGTGGGAATGGAAAAACGTTAAAAAACCAGGCTGGTGAAGAATACATTTCCCTGGATTGTGTTATATGTGTCAATAAAATCCCAGCAATAATTCTCACCCCCACCTCCCCCCCGCAATGGATGACTCCCCAGACTGCTGCATAGGTACGTACTGGCTCGATCTATCAAATGCAAAACACTTGGCAGATAGTGCTTAAAGCATTCTTGGCTGTCAATGGTAAAACCCGTGTGCATCGGAGTGCTGTATCAAAATATTTTACCCTTATTCTAATTTAGAGTTTCTTTTGTTCTCCTCTAAGGGAAAAAGACCCCATTTATCCTGCCACCGGATGATATATTTGGAAATCAAAGCAAAACATCAAAGACTGACTGGTGTCTTCGCTCCTGAAAAAACGGAAAAAGAAAGGAAATTCAGACTCTCTGCCTGACATTTTATTTGACCCTTCATGGAGGGAAAGTGAAATTATCACCATGTCGATGTGGCCTAGTGGAATTCTACAAATTCTTCCAAAGTCTTGGGAATCTGATTGTGATAACGGATATGATAAACCCGCACAGCTCGAGCAGCCAGGCACTTCAGGCTCAGTTTCATCTGAGTCTTCAAGAGGATTTCAGACACCCCCGTTGTACTTTTGTCAAGAGGAGTTTTTTTCTGTTTGTTTGTCATATCTGTGTGAGCACCAGCCTCAACCAAGCTAATGATGATCGAATGCAAGGTCAAAAAGTCACTAATGGGCCTGTTGTACTGCACTATGACATGTAATGGAGTGTTCCCTTCGTTGTCCACAGAATTGACATCAGCGCCACAGTCCAGAAGAAGTTTGGTGACCAGGGCATTAGGGAAGCTGCAGACATCGTTGGTGTGGAAGTCATCGACTGGTGTGCCAGAGTTAACAGCGTGGTGCAGCAAACTAGACCTATCCCGTGTCCTGGGATCCAGGTGGATTAAGTTATAAATCTGTTTATTAATTCGTGATTGTTCCTCATCCCTACACTGGGTTTTGGTTGAGATGCACACCAAGTACAAGAAGGTAAAGATGTTGCATTCATAGTTGTCCATGGCTGTGTGAAGCTCAGCTTCTGGAGAACTTTTGACCCTGGCCATCCCTTGCTCTATCTCCAGGACGCTACATCTCAAGACGCTCTCAATGTCCTTGGCTTTCACAGGCTCATTCAAGTGTATCATCTGAGAGAAAACTTGAGCGAATCGGAGAAGGTCCTTGTGGGTATTCCTACTGCCCCTCTGTCGTAAATGCAAAGCATGGAGCCAGAGCTTAATGCACTGTTCAAACTGCATGTTATCGGCATAAACAGCACCACGGTAAATAATTGGATGTGATACATCAATATTATCAGAACCCAGGATCCGCTCACGGACGATGAGGCCCTCCATGTGCAAAGCATCTCGGTCCTGGCGAATGGATTCCAGCTCTTGAGGAGTCCGGCATTCTGTCCGGTTGCCATAGGCTTCTATCTGAGGCAGGATGTCCTTCTCTAGAAGGTTCTCGCTATCTCTGTATCGCTCGAGCATGGCTAAATATAAATAATGATAGGTTTTCATGATATCGTAATTTTCCCGGTCGTTTGCAAAAGAGGCACCCAGGAGTTCCAAAGCTTCAATCCTGCTCTTGCGGTCACAGTCCGCATGTGCCAACAGCAGCTCCACAACATCAGCTTTACAGCTCTCTGCAGCTACCTTGAGCGGCGTCATTCCATGGCCATTCACCATCATGGCAGATTTCCACTTCACCAGCTCTCGGACAATCTCCAAGTGACCCGCCTCAGCTGCAAAGTGCAATGCTGTAGCGCCACAGTGTGCTTTGGCATTGGGATCCGCATGCTGCTCTAGAAGAAAGCGTACCACGTCGACATGGCCCTTGTAAGCAGCAATCATAAGGCAAGTGTTGTCATACTTGTTAGCGATGCTGATGTTGGCATTGTTCTCCACAAGGTACTTGACGATGTCCAGCCTGCCGTCAAAGCAGGCAGCCCGCAGAGGGGTGGAATTGGTTACGGTAGTGTGGTTAACATTAGCTCCATGGCTTACCAGAAGTTTGACAACTTCGAAGTGGCCTGCCCCGGCTGCACACCACAATGCCGTGGCTCCATCGATGACGTAGCTGTGGAAAAAGAAGAGAGAAAAATGTGTGCAAGGGGCGTAATTTTAGTAACGGCTTAAAAATAAGTCCAGGAGAAATAAGAGATAGTGGGAAGTTGCTGGGAGGGAGTCTAAAAACAGTGGGCAATATCCTGCCACAGTGAAGCACGTAGGTTCCAAAGCTGCTTGAAGGAAAGAAGAAATGGGGCCTCAAAGTTATTAATTACAGGCTCAGATGAGGACCCTGTGCAGAATCTATGCCATAGCTTCCTCCAAATTTACTTTGCCAGGAAATTATTGGGTGATTTGTTTGTTTATTTTTAATTCTGCAGCTCTTCAGTTTGCCTCTTGTAACCTGTTGTGGATCTTTTGAGTGCAACAGCTGCTTCACAGGAAGCCCCTTCAGTGTTCTCTTCTAAAACTCTCCACAGACTCCCAAATAGCTTCTTCTGGATACCAGAAGTGACTGTCTGCAAGATGTGTTTCAAGGTTACCCCTGTAAACTAATACGATAATTTAACAGAACTCCTTTATTTTTTTTTAAAAAAAGCCTAACGGGAGGGAAGCAAAGCAAGTGAAGAAGTTCAGCTGAAGGCTCTACCAATCTAGTTCCCACATCCCAACAGTACCTAAAATTCAACTTGGATAGCTCTTCAAATTAGGGGCTTTCAGAGGAAGCTAACTGTCTTCCTGCCTCCAACTAGACAATTTCTGCTGTTTAATCCTCCCTTCTCAAAATCGGAAAAAATAGCTGTTGTACTCAAGAGATTTTAGCATAACATTGTTTTCATTTTATCTAATTAGATGTTCCAATATAACCTGTCCTATCTTACCTAATCCATTTCGCCAGGAGCAGAGAGCAACTGGGATGTCTGGCTGTACACAGGCCCCTCTAGGCTCCCCTCCCAGGTGGTATGTCCCATGGCTCTCAGCGATGTCACAGAAAGAAATTATCAAGTATATTTGGCCAAAAAAAGAGAGAAAAAGGTGGCCAATGATACAGCAGATATGTACAGGGGAAGTGTTTAGCATTACATCTTTAAGCAGTTTGTATTTGTCCTTTTGGTCTGATATCTTTAAGTGAAATAAAGAATTTCAGCTTCACTGAATCAATATCTTCTAAACCAGTATAATGCCGGTTTGACTGGAAAGAACAGAATAAGAAAATTGAAATGCACCCAAATTCTTTCAGATGAGACCTTTAATCCATTTTTCCAATACAGTCCAGCTTAACCTTGGTGCTAAATAACTCTCAATAATTCTCACCAGGAAATACATAAAGAAAACTCCGTGCAGTAAAAGACCTTCAAGGCTTCATCTGTGCCCACAATATTCCACTGAAATACAGAAAGGCTAATGTTCAAAGGCTTCATGTGTTTGCTTTTCAGAGACTGTCATAGTAAAAACGTGGGAGGGAACTCCAGTGCTTCTGAAAGGGTGGAGCACCTTTTCTACAAAACAACATTAAGATCCCTGACTCTAATTATTGTCCTCATATAATGCAAGACACAGACTTGATTATGGTCGTGAACAGTCCTGTGATCTGGACCTAGTACATTAGAGTAAATAACTTGTGCCTGAATAGATGTTTACTTTCTCACAGCCTCCCTGCCTTCCTTGTAGCTTCCTAATTTTCCAACAAACTCCTGCCTTGCAGGAGAGAAAATAATTGATGGTCCACACAATAACAGTAGGTTCAGAGGGAATGAAATGATTAAATTGCACAGGGATGAGAAATGGGACAGCGATCGGATGGCAAACCTGCATAGATCATCGCCTGTTGCATGCAAGTAATCTTAAAAACTCAGGCGATGTCCAGTGTCATATTACACCCCCTCCTAATTATAGTCCAGCATGATCAGAATTACACAAGGCAAGAAACAAGCAACCTCTTTGGCTGCTCCTTATTCTTCCACTTGTCGGGATTGGTGACGACCGTTTATGGATACTGTACTGATGCCCTCCAGTGTGAAGGAAGATGCCCGCCTCACCGGTCAAGTTAACACACACACACACACACACCCCTCGAAGGGCGCTGCAATGGACCGGGCGGCGCTCCCCCCACCCCCGGGAGCCGAGAGGGCGCACCTACCCGTCGAAGCGGACGGTGCCGGTCTGCTGTGTCTGCACCCGGTAGTGCTCCAGCAACAGGCGCACCACCTTGGCGTGCCCGTTGCGCGCGGCTATGATGAGCGGCGTGGATCGCTGCCCGCCCTGGTGCGTGACATGGCCGAGCAGGTAGCGGACGTCGCCCTCGGAGCGGTTGAGCAGCAGAGCGGCCAGGGTCAGCACCCGGCCCTCGCTGGCGGCCTTGTAGACATAGCCGGCCAGGCTCTCCATGGCCGCCTGCTCCTGCGGGGACCGCCACCGCGCCCCGTCGGCCTCCCCCGGAGGGGCCGGGGCAGGCCGGGGCTCCTCCCGCTCCCCCCCCTCCGTGGCTCCGCAGCGGGCACGGGCATGCGGGCCGGCCCCCTTGGGGCCCGGGGGGGCTCCGACGCTCCTCGTCGTCCCGCCGCTCCCGTCGCCCACCATGCGCGGCCGGTCAGACGGGCCCCATGGCCGGCCGCGTCCTCGTCCTCCGGGCAGCGCTCCTCCTGGGAAGGGACCCTCGGGGCGTAGGGTCCCTTGGGAAGGCCGGAGTGCCCGTCCTCTCCCCCGGCCGCGGTCCTGGAGGGGGGGGCAGCGGCGGCGGCGGCGGCACCAGGAGGAGCAGCGAAGGGCCGAGCCGCAGAGGCCTTTCCGGAGCACCCCGGAAGCAGGACGGAACGCTTCCTTGCTACTACGGGTGCCCGGAAGGGGCGCGGCGCTCTCGCTGCGGAGGGGTGGGGCTGGGGGGGGAGTTACGGAACGTCGGAAGCGCCCTTTCGGGCGTCCAATCAGCGTCAGCTGTTATTAGCGTGGAACCGGAACCGGGAGCAGCCGTGCCATCCTTTGCAAAACCAATCCGTCCCGGAAATCGCTGCTCAGATGAAGTGAGTTCCGGAGCCCGGCTGCTGACCGGGCGCGAAGTGTCTCAGTTCCTGCCTGTTTCCTGGTGGGGGGAGCGGCAGGTGGCGACGTGGATGGAGCCCGGCACGCGCTAAGCCATGACTTACTTGTGTTAAACCACAATCCTGCGATTGCAAACTACTATGGGACCCGATGGATGTTGGTTGATTTAAACTTGGCGCGCGGTGCGAGCTCAGCCATCAAAATCTTTTTTTCAGGCTCTTGATGAGCTCCCCAACCTTTTGAGGAATGACAAGGCTCTTCCAAGGCTCTTCCTCCAGGCCACCAGCCCCTCAGCGGGCGGGAAATATGCCTGGCACAATACCCGTTGGGCCTTTTGCAATCCGTGACGCGATGTCCTTTCTTTGCCCCAGGCATGGCAAGAGAGAACTTGGTGACTTTGCTTCCTTCCCTTCAGCCTTTAATTTAATTTTTGTTAAATTAACTGGGCTCCAGTGCAACTGAATGTGTGGCATACACAGCCCCGTTTGTTTCACTCAATAAATGGTGTTTTTAGTCTGGTCTGTGATTGTAATAAACTCTGTCTATATATTCAACCATATGATATGGGGATGCGTAGCTGAATCTAGGGCAAGAATATACAGTAAAAGCTCAATCTAAACAGGATACAAAATTTGAAAGTTAGAGAAAAGCCCCCAGCAAATGAATTCTGCACACTGCACTGAAACTGTTCAATAACTGCCACCTGTTGTGTGGGCTGCTGCCTGTTTTGGCAGAAACTGAGCAGCAGCATTGCTTTCCCTGCCTCTTACTAGAGGCCCCTGTGACTTACTCCACAGACCTTCAGGGAACACAGCTTTTGTCCTGCTTAGTCGTTGGTAGTATCAGCTGCCTCAGTAATGTGATCTTGCTAATTGGATCGGAGGCCTGTTCTATATTAGTTTCAGTAACAAAATGAATAGTTAATTCAGAGTCATGCAACTGGAGATGTTGCCACCTGTAGAAATAATACAAGACCAATTTCATGTATTATGTATGGACCTGATTCAACCACAAGACTCTTCCCACAGTTTGCACCAGAGGCAGGAGCAAAAAGACTGGTGATTCTCTGCTGCGAATAATCATATTTCCACTTGTTCTTTCCATATCCCTCCTGATCCTTGATACTATTTTTACTCTTAATCTCCCAGGATAGATGATCTGAATATGGTAATTCACGAGCAGTGCACATGCATCAAAGAAGCTCCTCAAATGTTCAGGTTGACAGGCAGAAATGCCACAAAAGCAGAGAGATTGGAGAAAGATCTCAAGAAAGATCTGAAGAGTGTAAGCTGTTTGCTCTTATGAAAGCAGTGTGATAGTGTGATCATGCCAGCAGCAGGAAAGGGTCAGGCAAAAGAGATTGCTTACAGAAATTGCTTGCTTCCCCTCACACACAGAATGGACAACTTTCAAGAGAATACTGCAAATTGTGTAGTGCAATTCCCAACTCCAGGCTACCAGTGCAATTGTATTCCTTTTAATGTGCAGAAGAACAAACAGCTGCCTCTCGTGCAATCCCTTTCTCTCCCATCTCTATGCTTTGTATGTGTGTGTGGGGGTGTGTCATGCAATGGGGAGACAGCCTTCAGAAATTCCTTTTTTTCCCTTCCTTCTCCAACCCCCCCCCTCCAGTAGATTAGAGAGGGATTTCAAGAGAATAAGCTGTTTGAGTAGTACGCACACAGCTCTCGGCTCTGGGCTGCGGTGTGATTGTATTACTTTTTGATGTGTACAAGAGATTAAGCGGGCACCTAAACCTTCCAAAGCACGTGGAAGTGCCCATGGCTAACGTGGCAGCTCAGAGCCGGGCGCCTTCGAGGGCGACGGTTCCTTCTCTGAGCTGGTCGGCCCAAAAAACGTATATCCGGAGCGAGGCCGAGTCTAAGCCGCCGCCGAGCACGCTGGTTGGCTGGCCGGTCGTGGGGCGGGCGGGCGAAGCGGGGGAGCAGCCGGTACTTCGCCCCGTAGCTGCGCCGAGGCCGGCCGGCCAGCGGGGGCAGCAGATCTTCCGCCGGGCCGGGGCCGCCAAAGCCCGTCCCGGAGCGTCTGTCGCCTGCATGGCGGCGATGAACGGCGACCGCAGCCCCTCAGGAAGGGAGCCCCACGCCGCCGCCCCGCGACTCCCGGCGTCCCTGAGGAGGCGCCACCCGGCCAGCCGCAGGTGCTCCGTCCCCCCGGGACCCTCTTCCTGCCGCTGCCGGCCGGAGCCCCGCGGCTCTCGGCTCCGGGGCCCGCAGAGTCTTCCCCTGCGGGGAGGTCGCCGCCCCCTGCGCGCGGCCGAGGGGCTGGCAGGGCCGGAGGGGCGGCGGGCAGGCGGGCGCCCCTTCCCGGGAGAAGCGCGGTGGCCCTTCGCTCCTGTTTGGCCGCCGCGGGCTTAGGGCGGGCTACTCCGGCCCGAATGCCGGCGAGTTGGGGCCTCCCGGCGGGCACGGCAGCCTGAAAGCGGGCTCGCCGCCAACCGGAGTCCCCAACGGAGGACCCGCCGCCTCCGTTAAGCAGAGCCTGGAGCTGCCCGGCAGAACTTCGGCCGTTGCGCTGCCCTCCCTCGGCCAACCAGTCGGGAGACGGGAGCTCTCGCTGGCAACCTCCACCAGCCAGCTTGTCCGCGGGCTTTGCGGAGGAATCATCCCGGGCAAGCCCGGGCTGCGTGGGACGCGGGAATCCGGCTTTGTATCTCGGTTTTCTCAAGCTCAGAAACTTTTAGGTGCGCGGACTGCAACTCCCAGAATCTGCTGGCTGGGAATTCTGGAAGTTGAAGTCTCGTTGAGAAACTCTGAAGTGGCTTCCCACGACCACTGACTGCTTTCTCGGGCCCTTCGTTGAGGCTGAAGTGAAGCCGGATCTGAATATTCCCACACAAAACCTGCCTTTTTTCCTCCCCTCTTGACCGGTCCACAAGTGTCCTATAGTATTTGAATTTGGTGTTTTGGTAACAGCTCTAAGATTTTTGGTGGAGTTTCGTGTTCCTTTCTCACGTTCCTGTCCTTGGATCCGCCAGTCTGTTCCAGATTGGCACCTCTGGTTCTGGCACCACCCCTATAGTCCCATTCTCCCCCCCCCCTTCCAGGGGTTTTCTGGCATGCAGGATGCCAGCGAAGCGAATGGCAGACCTGACAGTCTGAAAAGGCACAGCCAGACTCCTTTTTTTTTTTAACCATCTTCTGTTAGACATTCTGGATTTAAAGACAAGATAGTGGGATAATTGGGGGAAGGAAGCACCCGTGTCCTTTGAAAAATCAGACATCCAGGCAGGATTAAAATATACATGACCTGCAGCCACTTGTTCAGGTAAAGGTGGGTCTTGACTTAATTGATGCCCCTTCCAAGATCCTGGTGGCATCCTGGAGTCAGGCAGGGGTGTCACAGAGTATGGTTAAAATAAAATCAAGATGGGGCCAGTTTGACATGATGCACATAAAAACAGGTGGAACTTTGTTCACACCCCCATGACTGCTGTTTGACTTTTTTTAAAAATCCTGCCGAAACTGCTGAGGACAGGTGAGTCTGTGGTGGCCAAAGGTTGGTGACCTGTATTCTCAGATCTCGGATGCACCAAACCAGTTCCCAGAGAACAACTAATTATTGCTCAAAACAGGTGTGGAGACTGCTGCCTTGCTGCCTTCCACAGGGATGGTGGTAGAAAGATACCGTTAGTGTTGGCCTAACTTTCTGACATTGCATCCATTGCCTTCCCGCTTTCGCTCACAGGCATGGAGCAGTCCTCAAGGATGATGTTTGCAGGAATTCCTGTTTTCATTTTGACTTGTGGTTTTATTTCACTCTGCAAAACTGGGTCCTGGACTTTGGTCGGCCCATCGCCATGGTGAGTACCCCCGGGATGAGGTTTCTCACCGACTGATTGATGTTAAGGGTTCAGATGAGGTAGAGGAGTTGAGGGCGAAGATGCACTGGGAGAGAAAAATGAAGATTCTTTCCCAATACAGATAGTCCTCGATTTACAACAGTTCGTTTAGTGACCGTTCAAGGCTACAATGGCACTGAAAAAAGTGACTTATGACTTTTGACCGTCATATGATCAAAATTCAGATGGTTGGCAGCTGCTTCATATTTATGATGGTTGCCGGGTCCGGAGGTCACGCGATCAGCTTTTGCGACCTGACAAGCAAAGTCAATGGGGAAGCCAGACTCACTTAGCAGGCGTGTTACTAATTTAACAACTGCAGTGATTTGCTTAACAATTGTGGCAAGACAGGTCGTAAAATGGGGCAAGACCCACTTAACAAATGTCTCGCTTAGCAACATTTTGGGCACAATAGTGGTCGTAAGTCAAGGACTATCTGAGTTCTGGCTTTAGCATTCCGGTTTGGGCAGAGGGAAAAGGCTGTTCCTCTTGAATGTGCAGCTGGACTGGTTGCTCCGTTCTCATTTTAAAATGTTTAAAAATTGTTTTAATTTGAAAGAAAATTAAAACGGACGATAACATGCCAGAATCTGCTGATTGTCACTTGAAAATCCTCCTCCCTATCCTGAATGCATTTTGCAAAGAAGATTTGGGATCGGGGTATTCACATTACTCTCAGATTAATTTTTCTTGGCTTTTGACATTCCCTCCCCCCCCCCCCGTCTCACCCACGCAAACATCCCCACAAAAAAACAGCAAGCAAAGATGGTCTTTATAGCCAAGCTGGACAAAAATCTGCAACAGAAAGCCCACCAATAATTAAGGGATGTCACAGTCTCCCCTGTCTTGCTTCTTGCTTTTTTGTGTGTGTCTCCCTCTGCAGATTGTGCTTCCACTTGAATGGTTTCCCCTGAATAGGCCGAGCGTCGGCGATTATTTTCACATGGCCTATAATGTCATCACACCCTTTATTCTCCTGAAGGTAAAACATTTGTTGGGTTCTTTGGTTTCTTCTTGCACAAAACCATCTAGATCAGTGTTACTCAACCTTGGGAACTTTAAGATGTGTGGATGTCAACTCCCAGAATTCCCTAGCCAGCCATGCTGTCTGGGGAACTCTGGGATTTGACGTTCATGCATCTTTAAATTGTCAAGGTTGAGGATCCTTGATCTAGATAAATGCATCATCCATCAACTTTTTTTCCAGACTCTTAAATTCTGGTGCTGGAGGGAGAGAAGAAGCCAACTTGTGGGAGTTGCGAGCTGTCAGGCCCACATGTGAATTGGACTGTGTAATTTCTTGCCTGGAAATCATACATTGTGATGTCCTAGTAAATCCAGCTCCAGTTTGCAAGATAGTTGTGCTTCACTACAGGGTTCATTTACTCTTGGTCAGCAACAGTGAGTTTTGCCACAAGCTTTTGAAAAACACAGGCAAGATTAAAATATCTGAAGGTCCTGATTGATGATAGATGTTCCCCTCAGATAGCCATCTCCCTGAGCTGGAATCAGGGTGAAGAGTGCTCCGTAAGCAGAACCTTTGGAGATGCCTCCTTGCAGACCATGCACACGCCTACAGATAGCTTAGACTACAAGCCCATCATCCCAGTGACTCAGGCTGGTTGACGCAGCCGGTTGATCTTCCAAGGAGACCCAGTCAGGCAAGGCTGCAGGAGGGGCAAGATCTTTCCAATTCTAGATTTCAGATGGTCAGGAAAGGAAAGGGTTAAGCAGCTTCGATCCTTGATTGAATTATGGCATAAGCTGTCCCCTGCCCAAGTCTATAGGGGAACTCACAGCAATAGATAAGGTTTACTTTACATGTTCAAATTCAGGGTACACAAACTTGGCATACACATGTTGCAAAAGTTGAAGAAGAAAGGGGGCCACAGAGAACCTTCTCTATTCTGCAGTGGGAGGGGGGGGAGATGCTGCTATCTCCAAGGAGGGGATTTAGGTCAGGCACAGACGCTTCTGCAGAGACTTTATTTCAGGAACAGTTTTTGAGACTTGGGTCCCTCTTAGGAAAGGGGAGAAGATTTCCAGCTTTTGCTTGATGGAGTTTGGGAGGGGTCCGATTTTGCTCCCCAGCCTCAGACACGTTGCTTTGTGTGCAGCTGATGGAGCGCTCCCCCAAGGCTCTTCCCCGATCCATGGTGTATCTCTGCATCATCATATTCGTCATGGGGGCCAGCATCCACCTGGTGGGTGACTCTGTCAATCACAGACTGATATTCAGCGGCTACCAGCTCCACCTGTCCGTTCGAGAGAATCCAATCATCAAAAATCTCAAGCCGGAGACCCTGGTGAGAGAGGCTGGTCCACTCTGCTTGTGACTCCTGACACTGCTTGTCTGTCTGTCTGTCTATCTCTAGTGATCTATATCGATCTATCTAACGATTATCGATTGCTCTATTTTATCAAGTGATTTAATGCGGCACCCATCTCACCCAAGCGACAGCTCTGGGTAATTTATGGGATTAAAAACAATCCCAATGGGACCCAATAAACACTTAACTGCAAATAGTTCTCAACTTATGACTGGTCACTTAACAACTCTTGGAAGTTATAACAGAATTTTTAAAAAAGGTACCTATGAGTTGTAGCATCCCATGTTCGTATGACTGCAATTTGCTACTTTTTTTGCTGTTTTGCAGGAAAAAATGGCCAAAAATATCCATTGGCTATGCTGGATTTAGCTACTACCACCTGATTTGTTTGACAATGGCAGGGAACTCGCTTTATGACCATCATAAAATGATCATAAAATCGAGTTTGGTCACCTGGTGTCTTGACTTACAACCTCAATAAATTACAACTGGGCTCAGCTTGGTCATAAGCCGAGGACTGCCTGTTCCAACCCCCCCCTGCTAGCAGAGTTCTTTGCTACCTGGCCCAAGTCCCTGTCAGCTGGACCCCTTCAGTCTTTGGACTCTTCCATTTCCTTCCTTTCCAGATCGATTCCTTTGAATTGCTGTACTATTACGATGAGCATCTGGGCCATTCAATGTGGTGAGTCAGTGGCTGCGTTTTGAACCGGCTCCCTTTCCCTGTTGCTGCAGGAGAAACGTGGCCTGGTCTGGTCCTGTGGGCTGAGACAGTGTGAGAGACTGTCTAGGCATCACGAGGGGGGGAGGATTGGGAGCAAGCAGTTTCCGTTTACATGCACAGCCCAGCTCTCTGTGGTTCACTAAAGTAACCCTCCTTTTCCAGCCCTGCACAGGACCCCGAGGAAAAGGTGCTGCTGCAGCTTTAAGAATCCTGTTAATTTTAATGAGTCACTGCCTTAAAGCCACAGGGTCTTTTTCCTGCCTGCGGGACACTAGTCAGCCACCAAAAATGTCATAGAGATTAAGAACTGAGAAAGTAGCTAAGGATCAGGAGGAATCTGTTACTACAATGTTTCTCAACCTGATGTGTGTCAGGCTACATCCCTAGGAAAGAAAGACCCTGGACTCAGTTTGATTGAAGTGACAGGTTCTAAGGATTAGTGGTTGCAAACAAAGCAAGGCTAGAACTAAGGTTCTCGGGTGAAATGTTACAGCATTTCCCCCCTTCTCCCCGGCCCTTCCCCCTTGACCTGTCTGTCTTCGTCCAATGGCGTTTTGGAAACCCTCGGATATTTGGTGCCACTTGGTGCAATTCACATTCCTTTCCCAGGATTCCAGGCCTTGAAGTCTGGAATCGGCCTGTTCTCACCACCACCCTGCTCATCTCTACCTTCTATACACTAATTGCTTATTTCCTTCCCCCCCCCCCTTCCCCTAACAATTTGCGGTAGGATTGCAGCAAAGCGTTAAGTTGACAATGGCAGATCTGACAATGTGTGGATTTCAACTTCCAGCATTCCCCAGCCAGCTTTGCTCTGCTGGCTGGGGCATTCTGGGGATTGAAATCCACATATCTGCAAGTTGATAAGGTTGAGAAATATTGTGTTAGCGCCTTTTCTGACCAGCATATTTGATTCAAGTCATATGTCTTGGAATATAAACCGGGTTGGTCAGAAAAGGCACTCCTCCACTCCTCCAGGTTATTTTTTGCCACCAAAGATGAATGGGGCTCTCTTCTTACAATTGAAAACAAGTCTATGGTTACTGTAGGCTGGCAGGATTCCTGTTCTGGCTTAAATGTCCAGTCAAAGTGGCTGGGAATTTCTGAGGGGTAAAGATGGTGAGGGGAAAAAGATAGGGCTCTCTCACAGCTTGGTTACACTTGTAAGAACACTAGATGCTCAAAGACATAGTCCCTGAGAAATCAAGTAGCATTTTTATTAGTCAAAGGAAGGTGAGGGCTTCCAGGCTCCCTCAAATGTCTCTTCGGGCCATTAAGCAGCTACTTTGTCCACTCACCAAGCCAGAAGAACTGAAATGAGCTGTTAAAACAGCAGGAAGCCCTTTTCCACCTTGTCCCTCACAACCTCTTGCAATTTTGTTCTTTTCACAGGTACATACCCTTCTTTCTCATCCTGTGCATATATTTTTCTGGCTGTTTCATACCCTGTAAAGAACAACAGCCAAGAATCCCTGTGGCTGCTTTACTCCTCATTGGGCCCAGCAGCCTCTATTACTGGTAAGTGAGCCAAGGTGACACAAGAAGGCAACAGTACCAAGCCGGGTGTATTTGCTTGTGAGACCGTTGGTATCTCAGGGGTCAGACAGCTGGTGTTTGGACTATCCCACGTGGAACATAAAACAACAGGGTTGGAAGGGACCATGGAGGTCTTCTAGTCTAACCCCCTGCTCAAGCAGGAAACTCTCTGCCATTCTACACAGATAGCTGTCCAGTCTTTTCTTAAAAACCTCCAGTGATGGAGCACCCACAACCTCTGAAGCAAGTCATTTCATTGGATAATTGTTCTCACTGTCAGAAAATTTCTCCTTAGTTCTAGATTGGATCTCTCTTGATAACCTTCCATCTGTTATTTCTTATCCTGCCCTCAGGCGCTCTGGAGAAGAGGCCAACTTCTTCTCAGTGACGGCTCCTCAAATATTGGCAGATGCCGTATGTCACCCCTAGTACTTCTCTTTGTTAGACTAACAGATGCCCAATTTCTGCAACCGTTCATCGTACGGTTTAGCATCAGGAATAATCTTTTAAGTCTCAATAGTTATTTTATTGATCCCCTGCAAGAGGAAAACGCCACGAAAGGGCTTGGCTCCTGGGATTCCTTTTTTCCAAGCAAATGTCACAATATGGGCGGCCAACATGACCAGCTGACTCTTTTCTAACTCTAAAGCAGCTGCTCCGGTGGGGAAGAAAACTCCCTTCCCATGAGAGACTCAAGAAATGGAACACAGGTTTACAAGATTTGCACAGAACAGAGTCATTAATTAACACTATTAAAGATATCTCCTCTATTGGCAATACAGTGCCTTAATTTTGCCGTATCACACAGATCCAATGTATTGACTTCTTCCACAGTCTAAATAGGCTACATCCACAGCATTTCTGCAGTCTACAATCTAATCACTTTGCTAAAAACAAAAAATTAAAATTAGTGGGCAGAACCAATTTTTAGTGAACCCATGCTGGCTTCTAGTAATCTCGTTCCCAGAAATGGATTTCAAATTAATGGTTCTGTAGTTTCCACTTTTTTTCCTTTATAAAGATTGGAAATAATGTTGTGTTGTATTGTTCAAATATATTTCAAATCTAGGCTGAACATTTGAACAGACTTTCCAAGACAGAATTTGCAAAATACTTCAATATTTTATGGCCCGGTCTCTTGCCTGTTAAACTGCTAAGAGGAGAAGGATCTATCAATTCTAGCCAGGGGTCCTTTATCGAGTGGGGCTGGGGAAAGGGAGCTGTGCCAAACTGATCCATGGAGACAGTTTCAAACTCTGGTTCCGTTTCTTTCCTGTTTGAAACTTTAAAATTCATCCTGGAGAAAAAGAAGGGAGGGGGGATGCCTGCTCTCTGTCCCCTTTTGGTGCAGTAGTATCTATGGGGTCTCCCAGGGGTCTTCGTGACTTTCTTCTCTTTGCGTTCCCTCAGCCTCCGGCATTTGTTCTAACTGAGTTGAATCCTGGCCTCTTTTCAAGGCCTTGCATTTCCTGAAAAGGGGACTGTCTGTCCCACGGGGCCCTTTGCTGGCTCCCCGGGGGATAGAAGCCGACAGGTAGCTGCTGCTGCTCTTTGTTGCCAGGTTTTGGCAGCCTTCCAAGAATATTTCTCCTGCGTCTCTTGCAAAGCTTGCTGAAAACAGTTTTAGGGTAGTCCTCAACTTACAACAGTTTGTTTAGTGACCGTTCAAAGTGACAGCGGCACTGAAAAAAGTGACTTAGGACTGTTGTTCATGTTTACAGCCTTTGCAGCATCCCCGGGGTGACTTGATTAAAATTGTGGCTCTTGGCAACGGGTTCATACTTATGGTGGTTGTAGCGTCCCAGGGTCACGGGATCCCCTTTCACAACCATCTGACAAGCAATGTCAGGGAACTGGATTCACTTAACAGTTGTGTCACTAACAACTGCAGTGATTCACTTAACAACTGTGGCAAGACAGGTCGTAAAATGGGGCAAAATTCCCTTAGCAAAGGTCTCAGTGATAGAAATTTGGGGCTCAGTTGTGGTTGCAGGTTGAGGACTTGTGTTTGTGAGGAGATGAGGGGGGAACAAAAGAGTCAGAAATTAGGCTGTGCCTTCAGCATCTGGCCTGCCCGCCCCGCCCCCCCCCAGCATGCAGAGCCCCCCCTCTGGAGGGTAGCTACACCTTTCCCCCCCTGAGAAGGTGGGTGACCCCGGAGAAGCCTCCGCAGCCGCCTGGGCTCCCTTCCTCTTGCAGGTACCTCGTCACGGAGGGCCAGATCCTCACCCTCTTCGTCTTTACCACCTTCGCCCTGGTGGCGCTCGTGATGCACCAGAGGCGGAAGGGCCTCATCATGGACAGCAACGGCCGCTTCCTCTTCTACTCCTTTGTCATCACGCTGGGGCTGGTGGCTCTCTGGATTGGCTGGCTCTGGAACGACCAGACCCTCCGGAAGAAATATCCCGGGATCATCTACGTTCCTGAGCCCTGGGCCTTCTACACCTTGCACCTCAGAAATCTGCCCTCGAGAAAGGCGGAGGGCCTCTGATACGGCGGCTGCCTTTATTTGGGGAGACGGAGCCTGTTGGGCAAGTCGGCAGGGCTAGGGTGGCGCCCACAGAACAAAGGGCTCTGGTGTTCGAAGGAGCCCGATTCTGTCTGGATTCATTTGGAAGCAGGTTCCACCAAACGGGGGCCTCCTCCCAAATCAATCTTTTTATTGCAAGATCAGCCGTGGACTAGAAGAAGGGGATGTGGTCGCAGAAAGAATACTCGGAACCCGAATGAGTCTACGCCATCCACTGAACTGACATTCCTTCGGCACCAGGATTTGTATTTTCCCATGGTTTAAGTCCTCTGTGACTGGGAAGATGCCTGGCCTATATAGAGCTTGTTAGAACGTTGAATGGAGACGAGGGTCCAGGAGACGCCGTGTGGCTTCTGTTGTCTCATTTTGCATACTCCATTCTACATTGGGTGGAAATTATGCAAAGATGAAGAACTGCTTATCTCAAATGTAGTATGATCTCTGCATTCAGTTCTCAACCAGGACACTGATAGCTAGTTTGATTGTTGACTCCTCAGATTCGTGGTGCAAGTAGATAATATTAAGTCTAGTGAATTTTGAAATGGATAAAAACACTGAAAATTTTGACTTTCAGCTTCTAGCTCTATGAATTCCTGGCTTTTGGCTCACTAACATGGATGTTGCAGATACAGCTGAAAAAGAGATAGGTTCAGTCAGGGGTGCAGAAGGTATTACAAACATGAGATTAGGAGTAGCAGACCTGCAAGAGGGAAAACAAAGAGGCTGCAAAGGGAGGTCAAAGAGCAGCTGCCATGTGGAAAGAGGCTGTCTGGCCCTGTACAGGTAGTCCCCAATTTGCAACAATTCATTTAGTGACCATTCAACGTTATAATGGCACTGAAAAGGGGGCTTATGACCATTCTTCACACAACCATTGCAGCATCCCTGTGGTCATGTGATCCAAATTCGGACACTTGGTAATTGGCTCATGTTTATGACAGTCGCAGCGTCCCAGAGTCATATGATCCCCTTTTGCAACCTTTTGACAAGCAAAGTCAACGGGGAGACCAGATTCACTTAACAATTGTGTTACTAACTTAACAATTGCAGTGCTTCTCTTAACAAATGTAATGAGAAAAGTTGTAAAATGGGACAAAATTCACTTAACAAATGTCTTGCTTAGCAACAGAAATTTTGGACTCAAATGTGATTGTAAGTCAAGGGCTACTCCACACAGGGAAGTTCCTGGCTTTGATCGTGACACCTTATTAGCAAATTATCTATTCCCAGCAGAGGATAAGAATTGTGGTCCAGCCAGCATTAGGTATAAATTAGATGATTTTTTTCACTGATGAAGCCCACCAACCTCTTAGCCAGTCATATTATCAATAACTCACAGCATCCTTTAAAGTTAAGAAGTTCTTCACTGGAACGCTTTTTGGGGGATGTGCACAGGGAGGGACAAAAAAGTTAAAAGAGGATTCTGACCACACAAAACCCCTTGTCTACAGGTGCACTAAAATCAATTAAACAAGACCCCACCCCTGAGGGTTTCAGTTGCACCATCTTGACTCTTACTCCCTTTCAGATGGTCCTTCTGTTCTTGTATTTTGGAAACCTAGAGCAGATTTTTTGTAGCGCAGAAAGGCAATTACAACTCTATAGCCATGTATCCCAAGTGTTTAATGTAGGCAGATAAAAGTGCTAAAATCCTGGATAGAGAGGTGGAAGTTTTCAGGTTTGGCGTGCAGGTAAGCCTCTAAATGTGTGATAGATTCCTTTACTGGTTTCAGGAAGAAGGAAGTTTAAGTAACAGACGAGGTAAATGGTGGGATAAGTTTTTCAAAACAAAAATTGGACTTAATTGAGATGAATGATTTAGTCTTCATGAATGCAAACTTCTTTGTTTTTGTCACAGTAAAAATTACTATTTTGAAAGTGGGAGGGCAATTTCATAAACTTGATGGATTAAATTAAATCACTTCCAGATATCTTCAGAGGAGCTTTTTAAGCATATGTAATTGCAATCCTTCAATGACCTCAAAAAACACGTATGAGAGATTGGATCTGGTCAGTACCGAATGGGTGATGACCAGGATATCCCGCGATGGTAGAAAAGGGTGGAAGGTCTGTGAAGTCAGTGGTAAACTATGCCCAGATTGTTGCTAAGAAAAACATGGACATTTCTGCATGTCAACAAGAAAAGAGCTGAACTAGAATAAGTCTCTTTTAAGAGTGAATTATCTCTGTTTAGTAGCACAAACTTCCCCAGATTGTGAGGATGATGGTCACTACATTTATCGGTGACGAGAAATCTCTTAGGAAACCTTTGTGTAGAAATTGAAAAAAGAAACCCAATTTTTTATTTATGATTTTGATGTTTAGCTAGGATAGATTATAAAAAGAAGAGCATTGTGTTGTAACTTGAGAGGTTAAAATTGCATTGATAACTGCTGTGAAGAATATCAAAGGTCATTTTGCTGTGTATCTTTTCTTTCGGGTTTAACTTTTTTGTTGCATTTTTTTTTTTTTGCTTTCTCTTTGCTTTCATTTTCTTTTCTGAATATATGTTGCATTAGTTTTTATTTTTAAAAAATTCTAATAAAATTATATGGGGAAAAAAGGAATTCTGGAGGATGCTAAGTTCGAGAAGGCTGTGCTAGCATGTTATGCTCTGAACCAGATCTGTGAGCTGCCCTCGTGAGGCCACTAGATGGATGTCTGTGGGAGGGAGAGAGATGCTGCCTGAGGAACAATCGGATAAGAGAGGGCACAGCTCACAGCTGCATAAGGACAGAGAAGGAGACCCAGAAAGAAATCTTCCTAAATTCCGCAGTGTTAAGGAATCTGGGAGATTTGTACTATCAGACTTGCAAAAATCTGTTAATCTAGTTTTATAATAAATGAGTAGAATTAACTTTTCTGGTCGTGTTTCCTGATTGGTTTATCTGGGAAGGCTGACAGCTGTTTGAACAATCATATCCAATGAATGTACATCAGTAGCCCCACATCTGGCTACAAGATTGTGTCACATGGAGGACTAATAAAAAGAGAATATTTATAGCTCAGGGTTGAGCTGTGAAGTCCTTGGTACTTTCTGATCTTGGCTGTTTTCTTACCCACCTAGAGTATAAGCCAGACATTCTCCTCTTGGTCACAGAACACACATTCAGCATATAATGACCCAGAGACGTGATAACCTCCCCAAACCTTGAGAATGGTCAAATATACACATTCTCATGTTTCTGCAAGGCATAATGCGGTATGAAACTCCAGTGAGTAAAAACTGAAATAGAAAAAGGCAGCACTAATTATATGGCAGTAATTACCTGAAAATTATATTTTGCAATTGTGGATGCTACTAATTTTGAACTTTGTTTGGATTCCCTCCCTGAACCAGTTGCCATTGATGACTGCTCACCATCTCAGCTGATAGAAGTCTGTCATTATGTTTGTACTCGTCTGCTCCACGCCCCATCCATTCTCTCACAAAGTAAACTAGTTATGAATTCACACTTGATTTTGACTAGTTTTTATGTTGTGGAAAAAGAAAGCTTAGCTACACTGAAAGGAAGCCTTAATTATATGGTTCAATTAATTGCTTTCACCAATCCCCCTTCAGCAGTTTTCTGATCTTGTGAGGTTTTGCTGTTCTGTTGGCATTTCAAAGGAAACCTGAACCAAGAATATTTGGGTTTAATAAGTTCATGTTTGTAATCATTTCCTGACACAACAATTGTGAAATTCTCTTTCCAGAATGGCAAGACATACCTCCATCCAGACTGAGTGGGTGGGAAACATACGACTTATCGAGAGTGACAGAAAGTTAATTGCCAAATGATTATTCTTAATTATTCTGATGTTTGAAGGTTTGCATGCAGTGAACAGTCAATCAAGCCCAACTTCAGGATGTATGCAGTTGTATTAGAAATGTTAGCATATATTGATTGATTAGTGTATTGTAACCTAATAAAACAAAGAGGTTTATGGTCAGTGACTAGTTGTTGAATTTGTTAATAAAGCTTTGGAGATGTTTTGCTTGCGTGGATTGCCACTAAAAAGTGACTAGCTTGTTCTTTACAATTCAGATTGCTAACCTTAATTCATTTCTTAAGCTGCCTTGCATTTTTTTTGCTATTAAATCTCAATGTTTTTCTTTTGTTTTTACGCAGATGAACCTTCTTGCTAGCTCACATTTCTAGTCCTTGGGAGAGGAGGTTTCAGTTAAATTGTTCTTTTTTTCGCTTGTCATCTCCTAGCTTAAGCTGTCAAGATGAAAAGCCACACAAGATTTAACACATAAAATACCTGTGACAATTAAAAGCATCGCAGTAATTAGTATTTACTATACAAATGACATTCATATTCCAAGCTTTAATTAACAAAGAAAAAAACTGTAAGAAAACATATTTACTCATCACTATTATTTCCCAAAGTCTAATTGGTTACAACACTTATTAAAAGGTGAAAGCAACTGCTGATCTATCCCCTAGGATTGTGCCAGTCACAGGACAGCTATTTTGAACTGAAAATTGCAAGACTACAATACAATCCTACATATTGCAAAAAGTGGTAAACACATTTTCTTAAACACCTCAGCTAATTCGATGGGTTCCAGTCCTGGTAAGTAGGTAATGTGTGGTCTTATGCTTTTAAAGAACCAGATCCTGAGATTATGAAGTATATAAATATTAGAGTGGCTAATAACTGCAAATAGATAGGGTTAGGATCATTTCTGATAAGAATGATAGACATTTTAAAAACAAAATTTAAAAGTAGAATTATTTTTTAATACCAATATCTATTACAAATATTTACAGTCTGCCTCTCACAATATTTACTGTATATACATTATCTACATTATATATTTTATATGCAGCCCAAGACCAAGACAATTTCTCTTCACTCAATTATTCCAGGCAAGCCAAAAGGCTGGACACACCTTATGTAGACTAAACAATTCTTTTGAAAACGTATCTGATACTTTTATTTACAAACTTCCTTCAAGCAAAGTGGTGGTGGTGCTAATAGCCTTATGGTGTAAGTTTTTCCTTCTCTTCATGGACCCTTTTCTATTAGGCACTTAGTGATGGCTACCAATACTGTATGTTCTCTAATAACTCTCTCCAGAGACATACAGGTAATAATAATAATAAACTTGGAAGGGATCTTTGAGGTCATCTAGTCAAACCCCCTGCTCAGGCAGGAAACCCTATACCATTTCAGACAAGTGGCTGTCCAGTCTCTTCTTAAAAACTTCGGGTGTTGGAGCATTCATAATTTCCGGAGGCAGGTTGTTACACTGGTTAATTGTTCTATCTGTTAGAAAATTTCTCCTTAGTGCTAGGTTGATGAGTTTACATCCCTCGCTTCTTGTCCTGCCTTCGGGTGCTTTGGAGAGTAGCTTGACTCCCTCTTCTTTGGGGCAGCCCGAGATATTGGAACATGCTATCATGTCCCCCCTTGTCCGTCTCTTCATTAAACTAGACATACCCAATTCCAGCAGCCGTTCCTCATATGTTTTAGTTTTCAGTCCCCTGATCACCTTTGTTGCTCTTCTCTGCACTCTTTCTAGAGTCTCAACATCTTTTTTACATCGTGGTGACCAAAACTGGACGCCTCTGCTCCTTTTCCTCTTGGCAAAAGGGCCGTCGGGGAGACGATCCCCCCCCCCCGAAGCTTTCCCAGCCCAGCTCGACCTTTTTCTTGCTCCAGCTTCCTGCCGATTCTTTCTCCCGCTAGGAAGGGAGGCCTGGCGCTTGTCACACGCGGGCAGGGCTGGCTGGAAGGGTCGTCCGGGTAACCTTGCAGCCATCCAGATGATGCCCTTAACCCAACCGAGGCTGCCCAGGTTCAGATTGCTCGCAGCATCCCTTTGCCACCATTGGCTGGGCTGCCGTGACGTCACGGAACGCGACCCAACCTGCCGTCCTCTCACGAGAACGGCCCCGCGGCAAGCACCGCGCCGCGAAAGAGCATCGTCCCCGAAAAGGGCAGGTGAGCCTCGCCCCATCAGGCCGTGACCCCCCCCCAAGCCACCCCACCGCGCCCCCGAGGAGGAAACTTCCCGCCCGGCAGCGGCGTCCCGCCTTGAGGGACGGACAAAATGGCTGCCGCGCGCGCGCCGCGGATTCAAACGCCGGGCGCGGGGCGGGGAAGGCGATCTCCCGGCGGGGTTCACTGCGCTTGCGCCCCGCGATTCAAGATGGCGGACAGTGCGGAACTAAAGGTAAAGGCGCAGTTGGGAGCCCCCCCGCGGCCGCTCTCCGCCCCCGCCCCGGGCCGTTTCGGGGGGTGGCGGGACCCGCGGCGGCGCGGTCGGCCCGAGCACGGCGGAGGGGAGAGGGAGAGGGAAGACTGAGGAGGGCGCCCTCCCCGCGGCTGCTATCGCCGTGTCTTCCCCGGTCGCCTTCGTCCCGCGGCGGGGCTCCCCTTTCCTTCTCCGCGGAGGGCCGGGCTGGTCTCCTCCGGGTAGGACGGGAGCCGCGCGACCGTTCCCCCGCGGAGAGTGGAGCGAGCCTGGGACCTCTCTTCTGCCCGGGCTCCCCCCGCTCTTGGGGCCCCGGAGCCCCGCTTGGAGGGCCCAGCTTCTGCCGCAGATGCGGCGGGCCCTCCCGCCCCCTCCCCAACGAAGGCTCCCCAGCCGCTCGGCCCCGGGAGCAGTGCCGGCTTCGCCCCGGGGAAGCGGTCCCTGCTGGGAAAGTCTGTCCGACTCTCTCGGGCTCGGGACGGCTTGGCGGAAGGAGCGGAGGGGCAGAGTCCCCCCCCCCGGGCTTAGTCGCGCCTTGCTGTCAGGCGGCTTTCCGTTCCTTTGGTGAGACGGGGCCGGGGGGGGCAAAGGTTTTTTATTCTTTCTCCCTTGGAAGATGCGTGTGCGCGAGAGCCCAGCCAGGGTCGTGTGAAGGCGGCTCTCCCGGCGAGGGGCGCCATCGGACGCAAAGCGGGAGGGCAGGCGGTGCGCGGGAGTTGGGGCCGATGCCGCGGCTCGGAGTTGCAGAAAGTAAGCGCGGAGATTGCGGGGCTTCCTCGGCTTCTCCCCCTCCCAACTCGCGCGCCTCTCCGCTCGTTTGCAGAGCTGACGCGCTTCCCCCCCCCCCGTCCCAAACGCGCAAGCTTTCTGAGCTCCCTGGAAGGAAACTCGGCTTCCTCCTCCTCCTCCTCGAGAGGAAAGAAGCTAAAAGTAGCGAGTCTCGTTGGCTCCTTTCTGCTGCTGCTGCTGCTGCTGGCCCGAGGGATGCACAGCTGGAGGAGGGAGGGGGAACTCGGGAGAGAAAATGAGTCTGAATATCTCTGAGCGCTTAGCAGCATCTCAAGAAGTTTTTTTTAAAAAACAGTAATATCCCTTTTGTCAAAAGATTGTTTTGATGTAGCATAAGATTCTTAGCGTTTCAATTTCCTTTTGGGATTGCATTGAAGGAATTTGTTGTAATATTAATTTCCTTAACTGTTCCTACGTTTGGTATGATAAAGGATTTTTTTGGGATATATTCAGTTACAGTGCCTAATACTTTCATTTATTACAAGGCTAGTTTCCATGAAATATAGCAAATGCCTGAAGTGCAGGGTAAATGCTTAATTTAAAAAGTCTTTAGTGCAGATGAAAGTCTTTTCTTGTACAGAGTTTCTGTGTTTACAAACCACAAGAGAAGTCAAATTTGTACAGCATCCAGTCGGAGGAAACGTAAAAGCGGCAGCTTACTACTACATTAGATGTTGGCGTAGGTTTAAGTTGTGATGAGGCTGGAGGGGGAGACGGGATAGTTGTATGGAGGCAGGATAGGTGTGAGACAGATAACAGATATCTAATAATTAACAATTATAATGTGTTGAAAACCTATTGTGCTTGTCTTTTTGAGATTTTTTTTGATGTAACAGGGCCAGAGGGTCTGTAGGTATCTAGGTCTTTTTTCATTTGGACTCTTCTTTGACTGTGCTTCGATCCTTAAGGAGTTTGTATAGAAAGTGATGGCTGTTCTCTTTGAATGGATCCTTTTCATCACCTCCCCTTGCCTTTTGTGCTTGAAGAGAGGAGCGGAATTTTGCTGGTCTGGAAATAAGATTTTTAAGAAACCTGCAAGTGTTGTTGCTAGCCAGTTGTAAAGCATAAAACCATTTATCTGTTTTCATTCACTCTTTGAGCTGCTTCGTTAATCTTAGTGCAGCAGATGGGGGGGGGGGAAGTGTTGTAAATGGCTCTGATTGGCTGAGATGATGGGCTTATTAGGGAGTAGTTTTAAAACCTGATTGTTTTCTATGGCAAAACATTCCTCCTTTCCTCTCTCTCCAAGGTCCTGTGGAGAAAGCACATTTATATGTGAGGGATGTACTTTTTTTTTCTTCTGTAAGCATGAGGAAATTACTCAAAATAATAACATAAAAACACTTTTTAAGACATGAAATTCTCCCTGCTGCCCCTCTATCTTTCTTTTCCCTAGCTCATTTGCCAACTTTAGATATTCTGTTCTCTCTCTAGCATCTGTCTGATGCTGATTTTTATTGCTTTCTTTGGTATTAACATAATTTTTAATATATTTATGAGATTGTTTTTTTTAAAAAAATAATACAAACTCTCAAGGTAGTTTACAGAATATTAAATATTAAAACATTGTATACATTTAAAACTAAAATGAAGAATACATGTAAACAAAAACAATTGAAAAGATTTAGAATCTGACCCACCTCATAGGGATGTAGGGAAAATAAAGCCTTCTGGTGAGGGGGGAGATATGTTCATTGTCTTGAATTATTTGTAAAAATAATAAAGGCTGGATACAAATAAAAAATATCTAGCAAATGTAGAATAGAAGACATATTTTTACTGTTTGAGTAGAACTAAGCAACTACAGGGAGTCCTTGACTTACAAAAACAATTGAGCCCAAAATTTCCATTGTGAAAAAGACAGTTGCTGTGTGAATTTTGCCTCATTTTTCAACCTTTCTCACTATAATTATTAAGTGAATTACTCCAGTTATTAAGTTAGTAACATGGTTGTTAAGTGAATTTAGCTTCCCCATTGACTTGTCAGGAGGTTGCAAAAGATAATCACATGACCCCAGGACACTGCAACTGTCATCATGATGGTGGTGGTGGTGGTGGTGGTGATGTTATCCATTCAGTCGTGCCAGACTCTTGGCGATTCTGTAGGTTGTAATAAATGCCATCATGCATAATGTCATAATGCCAGTGCCAAGCGACTGAATTTTGGTCACATGACCATGAGGATGTTGGAACAGTTGTAAGTGTGAAAAACTGTCACTTTTTTCAGTGACATTGTAACTTCGGTCACTAAACAAATGGTTGTAAGTTGAGGACAGCCTATACTTTCCCCCCATTTTGCTGTCTCCAAGTAAAGCAATTGTTTCCACTATTGTGAAAATGGTGAGTGATGTGAAAGTAAATTTGGAATTTCCTTTCACTTTCTAAATAGATTTGGAAGATTTATGGGGGATGTAAACGAAGGAAAGTCTGATCCTCTGTTCCTATCAGACTTGACTTTCTTTGGGGTAGGAAAAGAAGGTAGCTGTCTTACAAAGATCATAAAATATTTTATTACAAATCTTTTATATGCACATGTTTATGCTTATATTACATTTACATTTATACAAACAATAAAGAATATAATATATATTTTACAATTGAGAGCCACTTTGGTGTAGTATTTCAAATACTGGTCTGGAAACCAGAAGACGGTGAGATTTAGGCCTTCTTTAGGCATGAAAACTGAGTGACTTTAGGCCTGTCATATTTCTCAGCAACCCCCACCCCACCCCCCACCCCCCACCCCTAGATTGTTATGGAGAAAATAGGCAGGGATATTAGGCGTGGTCACAGCCCTGAATTGACCAAAACATATTTTAAGAAGGTAGGATTAAAATCTAATAATGATAATCTTGTATGGGAAGGTTATTCAGATATTCTAGATCCAAGTTATATAGAGTTTTCTAAGTAAATATCTGCTTTTAAAGAAAACTCTTCCAAGGCTTGTTACTGGAGCATCAAAGAACAAGTTGGTAGCCAGGCATCCTTAAATTGTTGTACTGTCTGCATTCTTGTGAAATTGCACACTGTTTTCAGTTTTGACTTTCTGCTGGAGGGATAAAACTGATCAGGCTTAACAGGATGAACAAATGGAAAAAAAATCGCTTCCTTTTTTAATTTGGAAAGGTAATTTAAATTCAAGATGAGCTATGTTTGTTTATATTTGGGATTGTTTTTAAATGGACAGTCAAGCATGTTTCCAACTGGCAGGGAAAATATCTGTTGCACGGTTGAAAGTTTTTTAAAACTTCATATACATCCTTGCATATTGTGTGCAGTTTGAATTAATATTACAGTTCAGAGATAGCACTTCTTAAATGTTAAAATTACAGATGGGCCCCGAGAAATCCTTTTTGAAAGGATAAAGGGTAAACATTGTCTTAAGGAATGGCAAGGCCTGCAAATAGTTGCATGTACCAATGGGCAAAAGCAAATCTAGATTGCATCAAATATTGGTATAGTTTCCATATAAAACAATAGCTGCATTCTGTTCTAGTCTGCACTGGACACATGCTATCTCACGTAAAGTATAGTCTATGCTGTAAGCGTGGATGCTCAGAGAATTGGATTCTGCAGTGAGGGGAAAAATTATTGGATCCCCCTGCTGATTTTGTACGCTTGCCCACTGACAAAGGAACGATCAGTCTATCATTTTAATGGTAGGTTTATTTTAACAGTGAGAAAGAAAATAACAAAAAAATCCAGAAAAATGCATTTCAAAAAAAGTTATTAATTGATTTGCATTTTAATGAGTGAAATAAGTATTTGATCCCCTATCAATCAGCAAGATTTCTGGGTCCCTGTCTTTTATACAGGTAACAAGTTGAGATTAGGTTGATCCAAGGACTGTGAAAACTATTCAGTAGTTACTAGAGTTCAATACTGATTTGTCAAGAACAAATACTACCTGAGTACTCTGACTTCTGCAAAGGATCAGAGGAGTCCCCCATGACATGCCGATTAGCATGCTTGCTGAGGGCAGAACGAGACGGCATGATAATTAAATGGGTGTACAGCTGGCTCAAAGTCCAATTCCTCATCAGATGGGAGAGAGGCATCCGAGAGAGACATCCAGTGGGGAGCCGCAAGGTCGGTGCCGGGGCTTTTGCTCTTCCACGTTTCCATTCATGATGTCTGTGAACAGGTGGAGGGACTGCTTAGCACAAATGTAGACAATAACACAATTGGCTGGGTAGCTAGTCCCCCAAGACAGGGCGGGCAAACTTTCTTCTCTAGGGCCAGATCCTGCCCCTCCTCTAGATCTGCCGGCACAGCGGGCAAGTCTGCTGGCCAAGGAGCGTGGTAGCCATGGGAGGCCCTTGTTCAGCCGCCCCTGCTCAGGATACTCTGGCCCCAGTCCTCAATCGAGGCCTGGTCTGGCGTTCTGCCGCCTGCCCCTCTGCGCGTGGGCCATAAAAACACCGGCAGTGGGCCAGAAATAACGTCAAACAATGATCTTGGTAGTTTAGACAAATGAGCTGAAATTTTTAAAAAAGTTCTTTACAGTTCTCCATTTAGGAAACAAATCAGTTGGTCAGGAATTATAATACATTCACTCCACATTTAGCAGTACTTCAGTTTATTTTATTTCTTAAATTTATTTGCTGCCCATCTCACCGTGGGGCTGCTCTGGGTGGCTCTTTAGTAACCATTCACAAATAAGAAAATAAGCAGCAATAAAAATCATTTTCCAACACACATACATACAACCTGACAACAACGCATAGTGCAGTTAGAGTAATGCTAGTGTGGCTGTACAAGATAACTTTATCTAAATGAGACAGCAGCAACCAGTGATCTTTACATTGTCTTTTTCTCTCTCCGTCATGTGTTCATTTAGCGATCATTTCACCGAACAACCTGATTGTTAGAATGGAACTTGGTCACTAAACAAGAAGTGAGTGTAATAGATTTAAAAGAACATGAGCTGGCAGTGTAATGTAGCTACAAAAACACAGTGC